TTAAATTCAGAATTTTCACAATTTAACTTTATGTCATTTGCAATTTGGTTAAATAGACTTGAACTACTACAAAACAAATGGTTATTTAGTTCCTCTGGTGAAGTGGCACCCTCTAGTGTTTGCTGTCACTTTTCTTCGCTTTTTGACAGTTTTTCAGATGCAGTGACTGTGTTATCCCCAGTTTGATGTATTTTTCATTATCTTTCTGTATTGTTTTCAGAATCAGTTCTATTTATGTTACAAATTGTTGTCTTTGTAACTTGTATCTCCAAAATGGTAAGTTGATTTTCTGTGTGTTCTCATTGTTGGTCTGACCATTACTTTTACATTTGTTTTGGGTTATGATCTCTTTATGGGATGGCTTCACTAATTTGTGGATTTTAACTTGAATCTATATTAAAGTAGTGATATTTTATTTAAGGTAATTTTGGGTTGTTTCTGTTGGTCTATTGATGCAGCATGAAGTTTCAAAAAAAGAAAAGAAAGAAAAAAGAGTAAAAAAATTTTAGAAGGATTGACATGTCAGTGACAGTGTGAAGTGTCTTAGTGAGTACTCACATATGTGTAATGTTTATTATAGCGTCCAAAATAACTCAGATTTGCAGTGTTGCATTGCAGCTGGAGTGTGCTGGGATTATGTTGAGACTCTGAGTTGTTTTACACTAAACAGGCAGGTCATGCTGTCTGAGCTCCACCTCTAGTCTAATCAGAGTCTTTAGCCTTTAGCTCTGCCACCACCTTAATCTGAGCCTTTAGCCCTCCAGCTCTGCTCTCATGGCGTCTATGGGAAGCTTGCCATGGAAGAAATGTATTCCACCAGGCCCTGTGAACACTCCTGCTATCAACACACAATTATCTCGCTTAATCGTGTGGAACTGCGCAACAATCACCTGGGACTCAGGAAGTAATGACATTTTCACCAAGACCAGCACCTGCAACAGCACACACATACAGAACAGTACCATTCACTCAACAGCAGGAGAAAGACACCAGAATATCTCTCTCTCTCTCTCTCTCTCTCTCTCTCTCTCTCTCTCTCTCTCTCACACACACATATATATATACCGAACAGTACCGTTCACTCAACGGCAGGCGAAAGACACCAGAATCTCTCTCTCTCTCTCTTTCTCTCTTTCTCTCTCTTTCTCTCTTTCTCTCTCTCTCTCACACACACGCACACATACACCGCTCTTTCTCTCTCATTTTTTTTTTCACCCCTCTTTTTCCTCTCTATCTTTCTGTCTTTCACATACTTTCTTTCTCACTCATTCTCTCTCATTTTTTCTCGTTTTTCTCTTTCTTTCTTTTCCTATCATTCCTTTTTCTTTCTTCCTTTCTGTCTCTTTCTTTTGCTTTCTTCCCCCCCCATTCACTTACTTAAGGTTTATTCTTAGCGCCTCTCTTTCATTTTCTTTCTCTTCCTCTATCTTATTCACTCCCTGTCTCCCTTTTTCTGTTCTCTCTCTCTCATTGACTTCTATATGTTTAATTCAATTTTCTGTCCTTAGACACACACACACACAGACACACACATTCACACACATTCACAAATCCTGGCACATGTTCAGCATTTTTTTTTTCTCTCAGCAATCAATTAATGTGCAGTTCCTTCCAGGACAGCATTTCCATCCACAGATTCCGACAGATACCTGTAAGCAGTGATGTAAGAAAAGTAATCCATGTATGGGTGGCACTACTTAGATTACCTTCCACAACTTTTGATAAGCCGTCCATAAGCCATCTGCAGAGAATGATTGTGTTGTTCCACATAGACTGAAAGCTAATTCACACCTCCGGATCGCGTGTACAGGGCTTTGATCAGCATTGCACTTCCACGTATAGTACATATTATAGCATCCATCTCATCGTTCTTATTTCATAGTTTTCCACAGAGCGAGAATAGCTTTGCACTGACCACATTCAAAGCTTATGATGAGAAGAATAGAAAAATGCAAGAAAGATACAAGAGGCACCTGATTTAGGCTGCATTGCTTTGCATTTTGGCGAATGCGCTGTAGGTATAGTGTCACAATGTGCAGAAAATAAAACAGAACATTGAGGGCCTCAAATACATATACATAAACAAACACACACATCCTGCCTCCAGACAGGATCCAGAAGTTCTTGTTTATGTATCTTAGTGAGAAATAAACAAAAAAAAATACATATTTGACAATTCTGGGCATGTCCTGAAACTCCATCATAGAGTTACATAAAGGGCCCACATCATGGAAAAACATGTTTTCTTCACCTTTTTAAAATAAACATTTGCTGTACAGAATCAATTATGACTGTTTTGGTGCATAAAACAACACAAATGTTATAAGTGGACATTTGGGCCTTTAATACTAACATATGGCCCTGCGAAAAGCTCATTGTTATGTGATGCAACACTGACCTCTGGTGGCTGTGATAGCCAGGCTTGGAGTAATACAGCTGCTGTGGGTCACTGCAGCTCAGAAACACTAACTGTGTAGTGACTTGCATTTGTGTTTACACAGAAGATAGAGGTCAGAAGTCAGTAGGTTCTGCTTAGAGCTCTCGCTGTTTGGCTCTCAGTGTGTTATGTGTAATATGCTTTTCTCCAGAACTTTAAATAGCACACTGACCAGCATTACACAGTGACCAAAGTGGGCTAAAATGTCACACGATACAGAGATCTGAATATTTTTGTAGCGTCTTCTAGACAACAATGAGATCAGATGGAAGAGCAGATGAGACTTCAGTTTAAATCTCCTGCTGCTCAGATCAGAAATCTTTCATGAGCAAAAGACCTCAGTAATCTTGCGTGTGTCTCCTCTTGAGTTTTAGTAGACACACTGAGTTTAGTAGCACACACTGTGCTCAGATTTGCCAATACAATTACTTTCATGTTTATCTAAGACTGAACTAAAGACAAGAATCTCAATATGAACTCAATCATTTGGATCTGGAGGCAGTGTTTACAAATAAACATATCAAACATATTTACTGACACACTTTGAGCTTTATTTTTTTCCTTGTTTCTTTTTCAGATGTCTGCACTATCAATGCTGAAAGCTCACACACTCACACACATATTAACACATGTACTTTTGCACACGTACACACAGAACAGCTGTCACCTGCCATGTGGTTGAGTCATATTTCCCATAGCTGCATGTATTAAATGGAATCACCTGCCAGTGTCTCGTCTCCTGACAATGTATCTCTGACAGCAGATCTAAATTCACATAAGCCCTGTGTGAACACTGTCCTCAAATAGAGCGACCTCCTGTCCCCTCGCTTCTGCACATGAGGACCTGAAATTATTACTGCAGACACACTTCAGAAAGAGTTCCTCAAGGGTTGTTTGGTAAAGGCAGTGGTTATATCCAGAACCACATCAACTGGAAGAACCCTTTGAATGCTTAAATAGTTCTTTGCAGCTCAGAAAACAGTTATTTAATGTCAGCTGTTATTATATATTATTGCAGGTCATAGAGCCTTTTTGCTTACTATACAAAACCCTTTTGGGTGTGAAAGAATCCCAAACACAGACTGCTAAAACAGTATCAGACACCCTTAAAAGGGATCCTTCTAAGGTTCTTTGGTAAAGGCAGTGGTTATACAGGACAATGAAAACTCATTTGAATGCAGTTAAAAGGTTTGTCTCTGTGACTTGGGGGAACAGAATATCGTTCTTTAAACATTTTTGGCAGTAGTGGACTGTAACAAAGTACACTCTTAAAAAAGATGGTCCTTCAGGGGTTCTTTAGTAAAAAGAAAAATGGTTCTGTATGGAACCCTAATCACTCAAGGAACCCTTTGCATGATTAAAGTGTTCTTTGCATCATGAAATTGTTCTTCAGATTGATGGAGATTGTGCTGTAGATGGGTCTTTGCAGTGTCTTTTCTGAAAAGGGTTCTATATAGCACCAAATAGGTTCTTCTATCGTCACAATATCAAGCTTGTTAAGTCAATCTATACTTAACATCTGTACTTTTATAAAGTATTTCAATTTTTTTAAACTTTTACTTTCACTCCATTTATATACATTTCTCAGTAAAATATCTTTCTGTAATATATGAAAGAATATAATTCCATAATATATGAAAGAATATGATGCACTTTCAGAAATAAATCAAACCAATCATAGTGTATCTTTCACTAAATTTCTCACCAAAATACCAAATGCCCAAGTGCAGCTGAGCAAGTGTGACTAGGCCCAGGCAACTCTGACAAACTTTCAGAATTAAAGAAAGTCCTATAACGGTGAGCTGGATACATTTAAGTCAGATACCTGACATATCCCAGGAGCTTGAAAGGGGTGAAATATTACCCATTTCTTAAACTAATAACACAAGAGGAGAAATGTTGTATTGTATTGCATCACAATACTTTTTACTTTTTATGTTTATGTACATTTAATAGAAAATACTTTTGTAGTTTAACTCGAGCAAAAATATGAATAGGGTCCTTCTACCTCTGATAAGGGTGTATGTACCAGAAAAGAGTCTACAGGAAAAAGAGAAGGAAATGTACATTGAGGACAGAGGTGGGTAGTAACCAGTCACATTCACTTAGTTACATGTTCTTGAGTAAAATTTTGATGGATTTGTACTTTCCTGAGTATTTTCAGTTCAGAATAATTTTTGTTCCACTCAAGTATATTTGTAAGGAAAGTAAAGTACTTTTTATTCAGTTACATTTTAGTCATTAATATTTATTTACTGATTCCTTTTTCAGTTAAATTACTTTATGTTATGTTGGTGACTGCATTGCAATTGGTCTGCTTGGTCTTTTGTTGCTCTGATACCTTTCATTTTGTTTTAGACAGAAAGAGTAAATCAAAAAGAGAACAATGGAATCTAACAAACTTCATTCCCTATCCTCATAGACGTTGGATGTAGTAAGATTTACTCAGTAGTAAGTTACTCAGTACTTGATTATTTTTGAACCTTGTCTTTAAATACTTTGCTCAGAGTGTTCTCGGAAAGCGGACCCTGAAGCGTGTTACATGAAAGTTTCAGAAGCAGAATTTTTTATTTCAGAGTTTATTAATTAAAATTTAAACATCACTTTTTAAAGCAAGATTAAATAATATTTACAAAGCAGAAACTAATTGTAAGCATGTGCTAAAAAGGCTCTAGTCATTCATGAGAACTTGCAGCATATAGGAAAACTAAGAACATGTAAATGTATTATGTTATGTTGTGTGACATATATGTCATATAATAAGTATCATAACCATTCAAAGCTGGTATAAAAATAACATTTTGTGAAGAGGTACATGCACAACAATAAATGACTCACATTGAACCAAAAACATTTTTTTTCTAAAACAAAAATCGCTCATCAAGATTAGCCAGGCATTGCTCATACTAATAAATGTACATGAATACACAAATTGCTTGTTTTTTAATATAGACCTTATAATGAGTCACACTGATAGAAGAAAGATAACAAACATATTACACGAAGTCAAACATATATGTAAGGGCACACACGCACACACACACACACACACACACACACACACACACACACACACACACCCACACACACACACAGTGATCCCAAATCGTTCTTCATTCAGCCACTCTGTCTCACAATTTAATAATATAACAGTACTCAGCTCACAGTCAGGCCTGAGCCACTTGAGTGGTTGCACAAACAACTCTTGCCTGTTTTCCTCACAAATACTTTAATATATTTCCCTTCATCTTTCCATCCCTTTATCCCTCACCCTCACTAAATATAATAAAAGCATCCCATCAGCCCTTTACTAAAAAATAAGATCAATGGCTGGTTGCACCAGCTACGTGCAAGTTCAAACGTAGGCTAGTTTTAACATAAGTAAAGGCTTATGTGTTAATGAATCAAAAGTAGTTACACCACACAAACTAGACAGGACACTAGATAAGATAATTTGATAATTTGTTAAGTAGGTAATTTGTTTTATTCAGTTTAACTTGTACACATGGTTCCCTTCTATGCTGGATTTTTTTCCATGGAAAAAGTGTGCTGCCGTCACGTTTCCATGGCAGTAGGTTTACTTGTTGGTTCTGAATGTGTTATCGTCATGTTAAAGCAGCATACGCATTAGTTAGTTGTTACTAGGTAATGCACAACGTAAGGATTTGTGGTGCAACCAAATTTAGTAAAAGGATAGGTTGAAATGAACTAGTGTTAATTAAGGACTTATTAAAGACTTTACGCTCAGACTAAGTATAAACTTATGCAAAACCGGTGCAACCCAGTCTAGGTCTTTCCTTTCAGCTTAACAGCACATTCTCATTGTCATAAAGTCATAACCATGGACATAAAGCCATATCCTTTATCTGGCCTGTCTCTGTGTCATTATGTTTTTAGCGGTAATGCATCTGCACCGACCGACCAATCAGGAGGAAGAGCAGACCGGACAGCAGGCAGAAGAACACGCCCACAGGGGCGAACATGAATGAGAGGCCATAGATGATATTTAGCTGAAAGCCTGAACAAAGATGAGCCTTTTGGTAAATCACATACGAACCCACCACATCCATCACCTCCACCCAGATCACAAACATCACAGTGGCAGCAAGGAGGAAGAAACCTAAAGGGAGAGTGAGAGAATGAGAAGAATGAAAAAAAGGGGTGGTAGAAGGAAAGAAACTGATGAAAGAAATGGAGAAATATTAGAGGAAGGTAGTCTCAAAAATAAATTGAAACTGTTTTAAAGAAAATGATTTGTTTGTAAAAGATTTAGAATGTTGTCTACTTCATTCAGCATATGCCTTTAAGTAAACTACCATTTACAGATAACCTCTCAATATAACTATAACCTCTGAATATAATTAAGAAAATATTTACTGAATACATGAATGATTGTATCGCAATAACTTGATTTCAATGTCTAAAAGTTGACATTGAGAGGATGTCCAAAAAAACATCTTTAAAATTAATTCTGCACCATCTTCAGATGTCATTCAGATGGCCATGTATGACATAATAAAGATTTTCTTTAAATGTTTTTTTGCTCACTGGGGAGCTTTCTCTTTGCATGCACATTTCCTCCATTTCAATACTATTTAAATATGCCTTGTTTACTTTGTCTCACCATTTCTCCACAGGAGAATCTTCGATGCCATCTTATAGGCCACTCCATTATGGCATTAGCTCGAATGAAGTTTGTTAAATGGAGCGAGGGATCGGATCGAGTCAACAGAAATGTAGACTTCAACAGCAAATCTTGCACAGAAATCATTGCAATGTGGTCCAATTTCCAAATGCCAAGACAAAGCTGTTTAGAAGCCAGAGTAACAAAACACTGTGACACAATACTTCAATCAGTAGTGGCGCCAGTACTACCATTTTGGATAAGCATGGCAAACTTGCAGGTGGGCCAAATGTTTAATTTCACTCCTGTGAATAAGGATATGCTACAAAAAATATATACCACAACTGAGCCGTCTGCTAAGCATAGTTCAAACACTGGAGCAGGAAAAAACTGCAGAAGGACAAACCAGCTTGGTAGATGACCAAAACACATAAAATTCACTCACAATAACTGCTCATGTGCTTACATGCAACAATATTTTGCCACATTCAGCTGTGCTATATGCGGAAAACAAATCAAAATGTTTACACATATTTGCAAAATTACTCTGCTAGCTTGCATGCTACAAAGCTAGCAACACCAAAAAAGAAGAACAATGTACCATGGTTCTAAAGTTGAAGCTTAACCCAAGACAAAGCAATGATTCAAAAAGTTTAGTTAGGTTTGCTTGGCATTGTTAATTAGCTCACTGAAATTACCCTATCTGTAAGCAAGTACGTTCCTATTGAAGACATCTATTCTTCATTGTCCCCTCCTCTTGTCCTGCAAGCGGCCATTTGTGTAATCCTTATTTGTGCTACTTACTACTAAGTCGTGAAGGCGTGTTAAAAATAACTCTGAAACAGAAGGATATAAACAAAAGGTAAAGCTGAAGTGCTTTAACTCACCAGATATGAGGAAAAGTCCACCACCCGCCTTGTAGAGGCAGTAACTGGCAAATGGAGCAGCACAAATAATGATAAAGCCACCCAGTATGACTGCAGTCACGCCCAGTAACACGAAGACACTCCAGAAGCCTCTGTAGACTAACAACATAACCAACCATTTATTATTTGAGCAAAGTAATGGAGCTATGACTGATTCACTTGTAAGCACTTATTGTACTTGTGAAGCATCAAATGACAAGCATACAAATGAAGGATTCTTATATGAAGACAGTACAATCAGGTTGACAGATTATAAAGCAGGCAAGTCAGTGCAAAAAAGTTTCTTACTGATAGCAGAATCATAGGTAGTTGCATTGTGGGTCTGTTCAGATAGTGGGAAGGGGAACAGGTAGGCATGGATGCAGACTTTGGAGTGTGGCTGATTTGCTGTGAGGACAAGAACAGATAATATTAGTTCAGATTATCACTGTACTGTAATGTAATAATTTACAGGCTGTTTTATTGCAAATTTAAAGGTAAACCTGTGTAGTATTTTATGTTATTAACCGTAGTGTATTATATAGGCTGTAAGGCTATATCTTGTATATGTAAAGCCCACTCCAAACAATGTGTATCACAAAGTCTTCTATAATGTGCTTTGGAACAAAAACCTTCAATTACACTTATTATATTGATATTTCATGCTTTATATGTCCATATAAAAACACAAAACCAATCTTGTCGACATAAATAATAACATATTACATATTCAGTATAGTGATTCAATTTTGTTGCCTTTTACAATGTCATTTTTTTCTTTCCATTGCGTCACTAGTCTTAGCCTGATCTGCATGTTGTCATAAATATTTTTTGTAGAATAACCCAGTTATAATAAATATGGTGATAATTAAAAAGAAAAAAGAAGGACTATTAATAACTTTAATGACGTAAGTCTACAAATAATCTTAGTACAGTAAAGATGTGTTGAAAACTATTCCAGAGCAGATTAGTGTTTCTTTCTTTTTGTCATTACAGCCTATAACTAAACAAAATGACAATCTACTTTAGCTTTAGTTAGATCATTCTGGCTTTAATTTTTTTATAATTAATACTGGACAGCTCTTTCACAACTCTACCCTTCAGTGACACCCAAAAATTCTCGCCTAATTTCGAAAAGTGGAGGGGACATGTCCCCTCTGAACCCCCCAAATTTGCACCAGTGGTCTAAATAGACAGAACCATCACAGGTTAGCTTGCAGATACATACTATTCATCCCTGCTTCTTATGAAATGGAATTGCTACATGCTTTCAGTATATTTCAAAATATTAAGAGAATATATTTATAAATATTTACTATATAATTGTTTTTCTTTTTGTATGGGACTACTCCACACTGTCTCATGATATGCCCATTATCTGACCTGTTTTATGAACTTCTCAAACTTTTTGTCAAGTTAAAGAGGCTTTACAAATACTCAGTACTGTTCACTCTCTGTTTCCTATGGATTTCTGCAGACTTACAAAAGTCTAGTATAAAAGTACATCCGTTTAAATATGTGTTTAAATACTACTCCACTCAAACTAGGACGGTTTTCCTTACTAAACCAGAACTTCAACATGCTGTCCTCTTCCACTCTGCCTTCAAAAGAGCAGCGCCAGAAAAAGCCCTCATGGTAAAACATGGAAGTGTTTCCAGCATCTGCAGCATCGTTCACCACAAAATCACCTCTCTGTGGAAGAGCACAGGGGTCAGAGTGCAAAGGGCATTTGGGCTATGGGTGGATATGGAGCCTCTTATTGGGTGTGTTATATATGTGTGCGTGTGTGTGTGTGTGTGTGTGTGTGTGTGTGTGTGTGTGTGTGTTTGCAGAAGAAAAAGCTATAGCTGTAATGGGCAAGCACAGATACTGTGGCATTTTGGAATACTTATAGATCAATTCCACAGCAGAATATTATTATGCATTTCACAATAACACCAAAATTTTAAAGATGGACTCTAAAAATCCTAAATGAGGACGAACAGCTGCAAGGCTAATGTTAATGCTACCATATACCTAGATTTCCCAAAATCATGAGGGCATTAAAAACAAAAGTTAAAACATTTTCTCATAAAGAAATATCCATACATTCATAATCAAAAGCCATGTATTACCAGTATTAGAGACCTATTCAATTGAGATCAGCATATCTCCCAAATTTACACTATTCATTTTATTGATCACATTGCTAGCATTAATGTGTGAACAATTCTATTCCAATTTAACAGGGTAGAAACAAATAAAAGGCCTTCTCTTTCTCAATTCCAGTAGAAGTGGTATAGGTTGAAGTCATTTCCGCTAGTGCATTTACAGAGGCAAATGTTAGCCCCTTGGAAACTACTGCAATGTGTGTGACTGCTACAAATAGATTTGGCATGATAGTGCAGACATTGCAGTAAGATTCCAGTTTCATTGCTCACTATTAAGTGTGGTATCATGCTCCAGCATGTGATATTCTACCCTCTGGGCTTCACTGAGACTGTAAATAGTGACGTCTGATACACAAGGTCTCAATCACGACCTGATCCAAACCCAAACCTACATTTACGCAATCCTGGACCCCAGGCTGCATTTAGAAAAAAAGTGTCCGTTTGGACATTCTTAGATTTTAGATTCGTCTTATAGTACCCACAGAGACTGTGTGACGAGTAGAATTCTATTATAATTTACCAGAATGTGACTAACTGACAGTTGTCTTTCATGCCACTGTGATATTCAAATATCTCAGACTTAACCCTGTTCCATTTGATTAATCTAATTTCTTTGTCTGGTGCTCTTTATAATAAACATTGATTGAAACAGTGCCCACACCCACCTCTATAGGAACTGAAAAATCAGACTCCGTTTTGCAAGTCTCTGAAGCCAAAAGCCAGTAATCTGTACCAAAGGACAAGAGGATGAAGACAGCTGCCAAGGCGCCAAAAAGCCCAGCGAAAAACAATGCCACACTCAACTTCATGGCTGGAATCCCACTCTTTTTCTCCTGTGTTATAAACAAGTCAATGAAAAGATGTCAATACTCCGAATATGTAAACTAAAGTCCTTGGCTTGTTTTTATAGGAATGGTTGAGTGTCAAGGTTCTTCCGCTATCACGCTGTGCTGATGTCCTTACAGTCTTCTCCACTTGTGTTTATGGATCTGTGTCCTGAAGCCCTGTCCCTTTCCCACAGTGCTGGTGTCAGAATAAAACTGGGCTGGGTGTAGGAGAGGGGAAAGGGCTTCAAAAGCACACTCTGGTGCAGAGCCATCCCCTTTTGCTATTTTGGACTGCTGATTGAAGGTGCCTGCTGGCTCTCTTAGAGGTGTGGCCTGGGAATGGGAAAAGTATTGGGGGCGGGGTGCTGGTATAGACCAAAATATCTCCTGCCAGCTGAAGGCCACCCCTTAGGACTAGATAGTTGGCAATGGGAGGAAAATAAAGACAACAGAGATGGCATTCCTAACATCGTCTCTAACCTAGCCGCCCACTGAGAACTGGGTAGAACCGAGCAGGAGGTTACGAAAATTAGATATGTCCTTACATTCCATCATTTTGGATTCACAATTATTATCTGACTAATTTTATTTTATTTTTTATTTTTCTACTGACTAATAACTCAAAAGCCAACCCAATAACCCAAATGCTGAATTGATCAACATATATGTCTGGTTTCAAAAGATGTAAAAGGAATTTAAAATAAAAGCCCATTATCTGCTGAGTGGGACATTTAGCAGAGAGCAGAGAAACCAGCTATCAATTAGCACTGTGCTGTGAGTGAAGATCACAGCAGTAGAAGTGGTTGACTGTCATCATATACATTTTCCTATAGTTTCCTATACTTCCTCTGCTGTGAGCTTCAGGTATATAGTCACCGAATGCAATCTTGTAGGTAGACCAGTAATCTTTGCATGCTGTTTAACAACTGGATGTTAACCTCTATGGTGTTTATGGTGACTTCCAATAGCTACAGTACAATGTGTGATGTTCATAGTCAAGTTCACCAATAAATGCCATAAAACCTACTTCACACTCCTCTGTAGTCATTCATACACAGGGTTGGGATAGCTACTGAAAAAATTGTAGTTAGTTACTTTGTAGCTACTTTCCCAAAATTTGTAGCTAGCTACAATTTAGGTAGTGGCTACTTTTTAGCTACTTTTTGAAAAGTAGTGCACAACTTTTTAGCTACTTTCAAAGCGTAATTGTCAGAATGTTTGTGAATCTCCACTTGACACACCAAACAAGCCCAACTGACAGTGTGAACAAGACACTGCATTTAATAATGTGCCAGAAAGAAACATACAATCACCAAAGATCACCAAAAAGTGTAACACACAACCAAAGGCATGATATCCAACAAAAATTAAGACTAAAGGCAAAGTCAATCATTCCAGGTTTTTCCTAACAAAAATTAACAAAAACAACCATACAAACCAAACAACTTTGTGCAAGTAAATGCTGCAATTTAAACATTTCAACAAGATATATACAGACATGACATTCAGAGTCCTTTGTAAAATTTAAGTAACACTTTAGCCTCAAAATTCTCATCAGTGACCCTGGCTCTGTTTGGGGTGAGAATCAGGCCTGAATATTCTCTCCACTGCTGCAGAGCTGTTGCAGCTCCACAGCAGAACTAGATTATTAGGTAAAATAACATAATCCTCCTTTACTGTGTATAGTTATAACAGTTCTAACACAGATTTCACAATAAATGGCCTTAAACACTGGAGTTAACGCACAACCTTCAACGCTGCAGACTGACGCACAGCAATGCAGACAACGAAACGGCAGAGAGAATCATCTGGAGATTAATGGACTTATTTGTATTTATAATCACTCAGCTGGTTCCTCATACGTTTAATCTACAACAGCTCGCGAAACTGAAGTCGCTTCTCATTCACCTGCTTCTCGTTCGAATTCTCCCATTCCACCTTAATTGGCGCAGCTGTACAATCTGGCGCTTCAGGCACCATTTAAGGTGGAACGGTGCAATTCGAACGAGAAGCAGGAGAATGAGAAGCGACTTCAGCCTCGTAAAAAGTCGAACATTGAGAGACATTTTACAAAAAAATCGCGGGGAAGTTTCCTGAGATGCGAGAAAAGCGGCTATAGCTGAGCCAGAGGTTAAAGCAGAGCAAAGTAAGTCTGCGTTTGTTTGTTATATTTTTAGCCTGTATATTTATGTTATTTTTCGAACTGTCCGCGGCTCAGTCTGGATTGCACAGTCGCCACCAGCCCAGTTAACGACCGCGTTCTGTGGTTCAGATTTTGTGCGGATTGCCTGACTTTTGTAGCGAAATTGTAGCGAAAATTATCGCTGTAGCTACACAAAATTTGTAGACGCTACAGCTATTAGCTACATTTCGTAAAACTGAAGCGGCTACAGCTATTAGCTACAAAAAAATTGTAGTTAACTGCAAAAAGTAGCGCGCTACTTAACTACTCCTCCATGTCCATACATATACCCAGTGTATAAAGAACAAGAGAGTGGCAAACTGTGGCTATTAGAGCTAGACCTTAAATTTGAGCCATAAATGTCAAAACTTGGCCAAAACATGAGGGAAAAACACACCACTACAATTAAACTTTTTTCCATATGCTCTCAGGGTTGCTGTGGTCAGGCCTCTACAAAAGAAACACAATCCAGATTCATCAGTTGTAAGTAAATTTAGACCAATTTCAAACTTATTACTTTTAAGCAAAATACTAGAAAAGTACTATTTGCACAAATAAATGAGTTTCTAATTAAAAATTATATTTTTGAAAAATTCCAGAAGATAAGGTTTCTGTCCTTGTACTTTCAAATTTAAGTGCAGCGTCTGACAGTGAACCATGATATTCTTATGAACCACCTCGAAAAATGGGTAGGCCTTTCTGGAACTTGGACTAGATCTTAAACTGGTATCATAAACACCTTAAAGTATGAAGTTCATTATTAGTCTAGCTGAGCATCGCTCCAATGAATATGACACACCCTGTGGTATTGCACATGGTTCTGTATTAGGACCACTTCTTTTTTCTTTATACATGCTTCCATTAGGTCACATTATTAAAAAGCATGAAGTCAGTTATCACAGCTATGCTGGTGATAAACAATTATATATTTCTGTAGAGCCAAATGATATGATTGATTTAAATAAACTAACAACTTGTTTGTCCAGTATCATTAACTGAATAAATTATATTTATAAATTATATATAAAAATATATATAAATCATATTTGTTTTTGTTTGTTTTTTTGGCTCCATAGTCAAATGATGAAATTAGAAATCTTGGCAAAATTTAAACTCAACCTTTACTTTTAAATGTCACATACATAATGTTACAAAAACAGTTTTTTTTTACATTTAAGAAATGTAACACAAATTAGACCTTTTCTCAAACTGCAAGATGATGTAAAGCTGACCCATGCTTTGTTTTTCTTTTTTTTGCAACTAGACCACTGTAATGTGTTATTTACTGGGTTACCTAAAACTATAACTGGCAGACTACTTGTCCAGAACTCTGCAGCTAAAGTACTAATTCATACAACAAAGAAGGAACATACAGTATAACAACTGTTTTAGCTTCATTACACTGGTTGCCTATTTCATTTAAAATTGATTTTAAAATTCTTTTACTGCTTTAGAAATCTTAATAGATTAGGACCTACATATATCTCTGAATGCCTGATAGAACATGTTCCAAAATGTGCTTTAAGATCACCAAGTGCTGCTTTTTTATGTTTCCAGGATGAAGCACAAAATGACTGGTGAAGTAGTGTTGTTTTTATGCATCAAAAATCTGGAACTCTGTACCAATTAACATTCAACAGGCATCATCTGTAACCAGCTTTAAAGAGCAGCTAAAAACTTTTTATTTAGCAGTCTGTTAGGTTCTTGTTTTATTTAAAATCTTATTTTATTCATTTTATTGTTATTATTTTTCATTCCTATTCTACGTTTATTTTATTCTATTTTCTTGATATGACTCTGATATGACTGCTCTTAATTGTCTAGAGTATTTAGGAAGGAAGGCACTAATTGTGGTAGTTCTGGGGTTCAGTGTATTCATGTAAATCCCTATATTCTTAATCTAGGGTTTAGATTTAAATAGAGATGTGAGATTTAGAGAATGAAAAACCTGATTTACCCATGTGAAAGACACAGTTAACAAGCCCTGTTTGCCACCCATCCAAACGAAGGTGAAAAGAGGAGGCAACAGTTTCTGAGGTTCCAGCACTGGTGGAGACAGCAGTAACACCTCAGGGTAAGGTGACCAGATTTCTGAAATGAAACGGGGGACATGTCCAGTTCTGCAGTCAATTAATCATTAAAATATCCAATATTTTTATCTATGCAATAAAAAAGCTGGGGCAGTTCCTGTTTCATGCAATTTGAACATGGTAACTGTTGTACAGTAATAAACTATGGTAAAGGCTGACTGGGTACAAGTGGGTAAAACTGGGTACTAACAAAGTAACTTCGTAAACTGTGCCAGAAAATCATATAGTAGCCTACCATGGTGAGTGAAGGTATGGTAAACTATGAAAAAAAAAGACCCACAGCTATAGCCCTATAGCCAGACCCTAAACACACCCCTGGGCTGGCTGCAGTTCTGAAGAGACAGAGACGGCTGCTCTCAACATATGGCATATGTCATATATGGATGGCTGAAAAAGTGATGCAGCTTAAACAAAGGTTGCACTATTTGTAGACCGCATGGTAGCCGACATTCAAGTAGATTGTAAGCCTATACAAATGAGAGAGCCTACGTACCACCTGGTTGTACGATTCAAGTCCCGTAACCCCAGCCCTGCTTTTAATCCCTGGGTCACCTTGTGTCTTGAAAAGACGTTTGTGGTGATGTGGACTCACTTGACACTTCCTAGCTTCTGGTCGAGTTTTATGCAGCAGTATGCTCAGCAGTCTAAAACTAAGTGAGCAATTGGCAGAAGTGGTTAGTAGATAGCAGCAGCTAGCCCCCTCTGTTGGCCAAAACAAGCACAATGTGAGATGTCTACCTGTCAGCTTGGCTGCCAGGTCTTTCTGGTGTGTTTTAAATTCACCGCTGAAAATGGGGCCATATCTGGGGACAGCTCCAGCCAGGGAAAGGCCACTAAAACCAGGGGGGGGACTGGGGATGTCTGGTCACCCTACATCAGGGAAGGGTGCAGTCTCCCATCCTTTTCACCCTCTTTACATCAGACTTCCAGTACAGCACCAGCTTGTGCTACCTGCACAAGTTCTGTGACAACTCATGTAATGGGGAAATGAGTCAGAGTACATTAGGCCAGCAGTGGAGTTAACCTTGGATCTGGTTGTGGATTTCTGGTGTTTTAGGAGGCCTGTAAATCCACTTAGCATCAAGGGACAGGATGTGAGTATGGTTCAGTCCTGTGGGTCCACCTGGAAGATGGACTGGACTGGACTGATAACACAGACACTCTGGAAAGGAAAGGCCAAAGCAGGCTTTTCATTCTACAGTGGCTCATGTCTTTCAGTGTGTGCAGCAGGCTACTGGAGTTATTGTGGCCAGTTTTCTTTTCTATGTGGTGGTTTGCTGAGGGAGCAGCGCCAACCCATGGCAAGGGACGCCAAGTACCTCAATAAACGGATCAGAAAGCCAGTGCTATCACAGGACTGAAAACTCACTGGAAGCAGTGACAGAAAACAGGGTAGTAGCAGAATTAGAGAACACAATCAATTTTGTCCATCCACTCAACGGTTCAATCCACCAGGGTGCTCTATGAGGAGATACTGGGTATCATTTCTGCAGGCTGACATCAGGCTTCACAATGCCTCCTCTAAGCGTGCTACATTATCCACAGCTTCTCAGAACAAACAACAGCACAGAATGTCTAAATACAAATACCACTTTACCATATATTTTTTTTTTATCAGAAGTACCAAATGTTGGCATGTTAATGTTTTTCACAAAATCCACAATGTCTCACATCTCACACTCCACTGAATGTGCATGTCTGTCTATCTTTCTATCTGTCTATCTAGAAAGTTACTCAAGCTACTTAAAAATACTGAGCCAGAGTAAAAAGATTGCATCAGAGGGACTGTCTACTGTCTAATTGGCAAATTTTTAAATAAACAATACTTACATGACACTTCCAGATGTACAGTAAACACCAAATGTTTATCAAAGGTATGACCTACTATTAGTTACGTGCTTAAAATTGTGAGACGTGACCAATAAGTATAGCTAAGTCTGATTATTGTCTGATTGTCTGGATAAACTATAATAAAGGTCTTCTTTAAACGGCTGACACTTATCCATAGCCATCATTACTTACTCAAAGCCATTAATTGCATTTACCTATGAATAAGTAGATTTTTTTGAACATGCTGTGTTTTGGGAGTTAAAGAAGATCAAATAAAGGGTCACTATTTCTCAAATCTTACAGCACAATCCAGTTAAATAAAAATAAAGGGCTTTAAATGTAGCGCGTCTAAAGTCATAGCATGACGCAGGTTTCGGACTGTACCATTAGGGGACGCGGCACGTTATTAATGTCTGCTGAGTGACTGGTGAGACACAACAATAATTGATCTACATTTTCTCATAAATACTTTATGTATGTATTCGGGAACATAAACGCGCTTTAAGAGGACACTAGTGTAATACCGTGGAGGGCTGCCGCTTTCAAACGCGCTGGTCTCCCCCCTGTTCTCTGAGACATGGTCCAGGCCCGGCGGTGACGCTGGGAGTGTTTGGTAAATGAGAGCAGTCCGGTGACGCTTCCGCGTAGGTCGCGCTGTGCAGTGAGGGAAAATGAACAACTCAGCATGTAGCATTTATCAGAAATCAAGGAGACCCACCAGGATTATAAGATGTATATACGTAGTTGGGTTTATGGTGAGTAGCTTCTTTTTCCTCTGAAGACGTTGCTGGCGCGTCTGTCAGCCACTCTTTCTTCTGTAACTTTGGATAAGACTGAACGACGTTGAAGATTCAAAGCATTCCCCCTTTACACTTCTTCGGCTGCTGTCAGTGTTATATTGTAGCTATGAAACCTATAGCTATATCTTCTGTCCTAACATGTAAAGAGTCGTAAACTGGTTGTTGTTGTGCTAGTTGTCTTATCCCGTTCAGGAGGAGACTTCAGCGGGAAGAGCTCTTCATTGTCACTAGCATTTTTCTCTCACAAGCTTTCACATGACCTCTCACAGTCGAGCTGTTCATGAACTGTCCTAATGTCATGATAGTCCAAAGCCAAAACCAGCCTTCTACTTTTGTATTGCCTGACTTTTTAATGTATTTTATTTAAAATGTAGTTTTTCCCCTTGATGAATCATATCTTCATTTGATCAAACTGGAATAAAACTACGCCTGGTGTCTCTTCCCCCCACACAAACACACCCACACGTCCATTCACACAGTGTTCTTCCCAGTCTACAGCAGGAGTGCTTTCCCCCGAATTACACTTAGTTTAATAGAGTGCTGTGACACTGGTAGAAGTATGGTGTGACTCCAATCATGTTCTTGGCTGGCTTAATGCTGGCTAAGTTCTTAAAAAAATGTGGCTAAACAGGCTCTGGGCTTGCATGTCAACTCATACATTTTAATTGTAACCTCCTTTAATGTCACTCTGTAATTTACTTAACCTGTAATTAACTTAATAGTCAAACTGCAAGGGCTCATATAAGGTCACCTCCATTCCACACTCTTACTAAGTAACTATGTTACTTAAGTTAAATAGTAGTCACTGAATTCTTTTTAGTAGTTAGTGAAGAAGTCTTAAGATTAAAAAGTGCATAATAGACCTGCAGATGAATGTTAGTATGTGTCAGTGGTATATTGGGATGAAGATTTTGACTGACTGTATTCACTGTATTCAGGATCCAGTGCTGTTTATACTATTTGTGTAGATGTTTAGTGCTTAAATAAGATAAAAAAAAAAAATCTGCCTGTGTCACTGCACTGATTCTGCAATGTGTTTGGTTTTGCACAGGACCTGTTTGGGGTCAGTATGATCATCCCTCTGCTGAGTCATCACGTGAAGGCTTTAGGAGCCAGCCCTACAGTTGCTGGGATAGTGGGTGAGACTCTGTCATCTTATGTTCAACTACATGAAAACAACATGCTTAACATAAATAACTACACACAATTAACATGTAAAATTATATATAAATAGAATGTAGACAATTAATTAAAGCCATTAGGGTGCAATTCTGCCACTTGATGTTACATGCAATAAGACTTAAATGCAGTTCAAGTAGGGGCGGGCAATATGATGATATTTTAGCATATTGTGGTAAATTACATCACAGTGTGCTTTTCTAGGCATATTGTGAATATCATCAGTACTGAAGTCAGGACACTGATCAGTATTTTTAAAATGTGGCACTCCTAGGGATTGTTTCTGTTCCACTTCAGAGGAACAGCAGTATGCACCCAAGTAAAGGTTTCACTTGTGCATGAAAATAGACTTATGAATATCAATACAGCCTTTACTGCATCAGTACACATCACCACAAGATCATCCATGATATATTGCCATATCAATGAACATAGCCCTAATCATGGGTACCCATAGCTATGTGCAGGATAGACTTTTTCTCTGTCACACACCTAATTACCAAACTCATTTGTGAGGTGAATTTGGTTTGTTAGAACTCAAAAAACTGGTGGTTAAAAGTTATAGCTTGGAGACCATCTTAACCCATGAAGAATTACATGTGATGCTATGCTATGATTTGTTCATTTATAATCTTTTAACCAAAGCACTGGCAAATAAGTCTTCTGTAAAAGCTGAAGAATTAGCATTTTAAATGCTGAAAAGTTAATATTTCTCTCATTTTTCTTTTTTTCACTTAACTACTTTCGCAAATATTTTCAGTACCTACAATAACTAAAATGTAAATGTACATATAGATGCTTACATTATTGTATTTAGTTAATATTTCATTTGAAAAACTGATTGATCACACTAAAATATTTCATAGGCCTCAAAAGAGCCTAGATATAACATTGAGTGAGTCCACAGACAGTGATCACACTGTTGATAAGGCATGCTCTTTTGGGAGCCTTTAAGGAAACAACTTTATAAAGTGACGTGCTATGTCCACTGAGTAACGTGTCCTGCTGAACAGTTTTTGCATTTTTGTTTATTGTTGTTTTTTTATGCATTACTCGTGGCATTCATCTAAGAGAAATCTCAGTCATGTTTTAATGTTGGGGTATTTGTGAATCTTGTACATTGGATACACCCTATTTCAAAAGGCTGGTTCTTTTGTCATATACACTTGAGATCACCAGCTGAAGAAACATTTCTACTTCTTTCGAAAGGTTGACATTGATTGTGATCACAAGGTCTCAATTTCTTTGGTCAGGCCATCCTGCAGTTACTTCAAAGGAGGATTTCATGCAAAATCCATAATTCAATCTGTGATTCCTTGCTGTATGGTCAGTTTCTAAGAATTTGGCCACATTACTCAGATGCTCTGTAGTTGGGTAAAACAAATTAACACTGAGCTAGTAGTCATTTAATTTGATGACTGTAGGATGAGGATATGAATGTTCCTCTTAGGAAAAAGATAGAAATCATGGCAAATAATCGGGGAATCTGAACTAAACTAAAATTATCTGTTTGTAACCCAAAATGCATATCACTTATGAATGTGCATTTGGCAAGTATAACTGTCCTTAAGATCTAAGCATGTTCACAGGGCAGAGTTTTGCTGCTTTGTAGATTGAGATTCTCTCTCATGTCCCATTTCTAAATTACTTCTATTATATTTTAATACTCATGTCTTCAGGACTATACATCATTATATATATATGATGTATAGTTATATATATATATATATATGATGTATAGTTATATATATATATATATGATGTATAGTTATATATATATATATATATGATGTATAGTTATATATATATATATATATATATATATATATATATATATATATAATGCGCACTTTTGGAAATGTGAATACACTTTCTAATCTCTTTGCTTGTTAGGCAGTAGTAAATGTGGTCAGCATTTCCCATAGGTCTGAATAAAACCTAGGGGAAACATCATGGGGTTTGGTAGAGGTTGTTAATCTTCAATGCAGTTTTAACACTGCAACATGCAAAGTAATGGAAATGGAGACTGGATATTGTTATTATAGGAAAAGTCATTTTTGGGCTGCCATCACTATAATTTCTTGGGTTGGGGCTGCCCAAGCATAGTCAATGTGTGGAAAACATTGTAAGTGTAAATGCCTCGTTTTTACCAGAAATATCTGATTTTTTTCTGAAATATTTCTTAAAATAGGCATTAAGGACTACATCTGTCTTGGTGTTTAAAGCACAGCCAGTCTCACATCATCATTACAATAGAGATTCCTCAAAAATCACCACTAGACTGTGAATCTCCTGAAAAGCAACCCAGAGACAAAGCAGAGGTTGGAGGCTTAACTGTAACTCTCTTATTTTCATATCGCAGGTTCCACTTATGGGGTTTTGCAGCTGTTCTCCAGCACTATAGTTGTGAGTAATTTAGTATTTCCTTCTGACATTTTGCTCCCCAGAAACGGCCATTTTATAACTATAACAAAAACATAACTATACAGAAAAAATGTAAAAGTTGTGCTATACACGCATTACAAGTGCTCTTTAAGCTGTCTGTGTGCAGGGAATAATTTCATGTTTTTGATGACTTTACATGGTGCCTCAAACCGGAGATTTTGCTTATAAACTAGAAACTCTACTGTAAGACACGTATGCATCATCTGAGCAGATCAGTTCACCAGTCCTCGGAAGCCTCCTCCCTACTTTAAATTGGTTTAAATCTGCAGGGTCATGAGGCAAATTAAGAAGTGAAGGAAGGGTTTGTTTTCACTTGGATGCTAAGCATAGACACGGAGGAGAGAAACAGCCAAGGCTCTGTGATGCGCCTGAAGCCGACAGGCAGAACATAGAAAATTCAATTGAGCTTTTATTGCATTATGTCAGCATGTTTTGTAATTGTGTCTAGTGTAGTGTGTAAATGTGTGTGTGCATGTGTCATATCTCACGCTACTGAGAGTAGATACAGAGGTGCCTGTGGCACTTATCCTAGGAACTAAGTTGTGGAGTTGAATCCTGTAGATGCATACAGAGATAAAGCTTTTAACTCAAACTTCTACCTGCACCAGTTCCCTGTGTAAGACCAATGTAAGCAGTCAAATCACCTCCTTCACAAAATTATAAACATGCATTATCTTCCAGTATGCAGTTTTAATTAAATGTACCACTTCCTGTACGGCATACTTTTACTAACACAGAGCCTTTGTTTCCTCATACATCCTGTAACCCTATGTGAAAACAAGATCTCTGACTAAGAGACAATTTTTAAACAAAGCTTTTTGTGATAAGTGTTCTTGTAATGTCTCATATATTACTGTGCCAAAGTCAGAGACCACCCTTTATTGATTAATTTATAGTGAAACAGCCATTAAGTATAAGTTAGTATTTTTTCAGGATATATTGCTGAGGAGATTACATAAAAGATAGTCCAGTTTCATAAGGAAGTGGAAAGTCGAGGGAAAATAAGTGGGGGAAAAAAAACAGCAGTTTCCAAAACTGGAGTTCAAAAAATTAAAATATTACTCCTAACAGCTATGCGAGACCTGGTAGACACCAAAACTGTCACCACCAGAGAAACAGTACTTAATGATTTTCATTTTTGAAAGAGAGGAGAAAATCAAGCTCCACACTTGCTTCGTATCTGAAAAAATCCACAGGTGTTCCTGTCCATCCTTCCACTGTGAGAAGACAACTCAACACTGAGTCAGAAAGGATGTGAAGCTGTTAAGATGCCATTACTGCAGACAAAAAAGTAGAAAGTTTGCAAATCAAACTAAGAAGCTGGTGGTGTTCTTAGAACAATGGACAGACCACCCCAGAGCCCAGACCTCAGAATCTCTGAATGTGTTTGGGATTACTTGGATCACAAGACGCAAAAAATGCAACCAACTTCTAAGATTGAACTTTGAAGTTGTGAAAAATATTCCTGCAGATTGATTTGAAAAGCTGAAGAGTAGCTGGAAAGATACAGGTGAACACACAGAATTTTGATATTATATTTAGTTGTTGAGGCTTTTGTTTATATTTCTGTCAAATGTATGTTTCCTGCTTTTTTCCCTGATGCTAAAAATAAAAAACTTAATACTTAATCACTGTTTTGACTGGAAAGTGAATAAAAAAAAGGGGGTCTCTGACTTTTGCACAGCAATGTATACTGATTTCTCTTTGTCCCCACAAACTTTGTTTGGCAGGGCAGCTGGAGTGATGTAGTGGGGAGGCGCTATTCCTTGCTGACATGCCTTCTGCTCAGTGCCTTTGGATATGGCCTTTTGGGGCTGTCCACTAGTATTGCCCTGTTTGTGCTGGCCCGAATACCAGTGGGTAAGTTATGGAGTGTTATGTTATGTAAATCAATGATATGTCTGCGATAAGACATAATTCTTTTATTTTTAACATACATTTGATAAACAAGTGTGTATAGAGTGAGTGTAGTGTGTGTGTGTGTGTGTGCGCATATGCCATATCTCACGCTAATGAGAGCTGGTATGGAGGCACCAGCAGCACTTATTCTAGGAACTAAGCTTTGGAATAATTGATTGATGATCATGCAGGCTCACTTGTAAGATGTTTAGTTTGTGTTATTAACAGTAATGGTTCTCTGCCTTTCCACAGGGCTATTTAAACATTCTCTGTCCATCTGTCGAGCTCTCCTATCAGATCTTGTGTCAGAGACAGAGCGCCCCCTGGTGATGGGTCACTTTAATGCAGCTTCTAGTGTGGGTTTCATTCTGGGCCCAGTGGTAGGAGGCTACCTCACTGAACATGAAGGAGGATTCTACTTATCTTCATTTGTCTGTGCAGCCATCTTCCTTCTTAATGCAGGTAAAAGAGAACAAACAGGAACAAGCATGAACAAACACACACTCATGTGCCATAGGAATGTGCCATACCCTTGTTTGACTGTTGTAAGAGTCTAAAATGTTTTTTCCCCATTCACTCTAGTTCATTTTACTTGTGAGTTCTTTTTCTGAACATTCTCAGGACAAATGCAAACATTAGAATGTGTTTGTGTTTGCTCATGTTTGTCCCGTCAGTGTATTCTGGCCTATAGAGAGCAGAGAGCAAAAATGAGCCATCTGTCTAGGCTAAGTATAGACTAAGTTCTACTAAATCAAATCATTTTGCCCCTTCAAGCTATTATGTATTCACATATGTTTAAACTCAAACTGACTGGAATGGCTAGACAGTAATCTATTCTATAGATGAACTCAGCCCATTTTGTAATCTTCCTCAGGTCTGGTCTGGATGTTGCCATGGAGTGAGACTCTAAACCACCGTATAGATACTAATAGTAATAGTAACAGAAGCAAATCTTATGACAAGCTAAAGAACTGTCCTGTTAGGAACCACCATGACTCTTCTTCCACCACAGCCTGTGGTTCTGCTGGAGCTTCCTGCTGGGGCTGGAGGGATACGAATCTTCTCCAGCCTGCCTGGCGGCAGCTGACATCAATGTTGGTGCGGATCCGCATGTTGGCCTCCTCAGACATGTGGGACGTGTTCCTTGTGCGTCTGTTAATGGCTGTAGCTATAATGCTTTACTACAGTAACTTCTCCCTGGCTATGGAGGAGCGCTTTGATCTCAAGCCCAAAGTGACTGGCTACTTGATAAGCTACAGCAGCATGCTGGGTGCCCTTGCTGGCTGCCTGGTAGGACCTGTCACTCATCTCTACAGCAACAACATGTCAGCTCTCCTACTGCACTCAACCATGCTCACATGCTCTCTGATCTTCCTGTACACCACTGCGCCTAATGTGTGGCAAGTGCTGCTTACCTCCACCTTCTTTGCCATCTCCACTACTATTGGCCGCACCTGTATCACTGACCTGGAGCTGCAGCGAGGTGGTGCACAAGCCAGCGGGACCTTGATAGGGGCGGGGCAGTCGGTTACAGCAGTGGGACGCGTTCTGGCTCCCCTTCTGTCTGGTCTAGCCCAAGAGTTCAGTCCCTGTGGGCCACCCAGTCTGGGAGTGGTTCTGGCCCTGATAGCTGTGGGCTTATTGCTTATCAGGACTCCAAAGTGGGATAGTAAAGCCAAAGTAAAGGACAATAACCACTAATAGTGACAACCCAATGGTCACACAGGAAAAAATGAGCATTGTGGTGCCATCTGCTGGAGTTGGCAGTGACTTTTCTCTGTCAGAAATTAAGGTGGAAGCTAAAGCTATGACTGTGGTTTATCACTGATCTGCCAGAAGTCAGCTGATTTGGTCTTAGAGTACTCACAGCAGTGAGTTTCAGCATTGTAAGACATTGTCAGCAGAGTCACCAGCAGGGCAGCCACCTGTCCCTTCAGCCTCAAGAGGACCTGCCACACTAAGTGAAAACCCAGAGACAGACACAGAAGACCACAGGCTGAAGGTTTAAACAGCATGCCTGAATACCAAGGCATGCATTTTCAATGACTGGCACAATGTATGACTTACAGTAGAAAGTGGATATTAAGCAGGTGAGAATCTCAATCCTTTCCATATCGCCAATCAATTATCAGCCACTGGAGTCAGATTTACATGGTCCTTAGAGATCTATGCATTACAGGGAAACATTACTTTCTGGACTGTTTGTTTTTTTAACCTCAGTGAGGCATTAATGGTACAAAAACACTTCATCCTTATTGCACTTAATAGATATTTCCTCTTTTTTTAATTTTTAATGCCAATTGCACTACAATACAGTTGTACTGCTAAGATACATATGGCCTTACAGCTCATAATAGACAGACATTCTGTGGTTAAGAGCTGTTTTCATTAGCTTTTCCATTTTGTTTAATTGGGAGCAGCAGCATAAACTCATCTTCTCAAGTTTGTTTAATTGAGATGTTACAATATTTATTGCATTCTTTATTAGACTACTTTTTTTAGATTACTTTTTATTGTTGTATGTTGAATGAAATGAACATTTTCCACCCTAAAATTTAGGAATGTTCTGATGATCCATGAATGTAATTTTAAGATCATGCACCTCTAAAAAGACATGGAAAAAAATAAAATCATAACCTGAAGGAAACTTTGTTTTCATTTGTTTGTTTTTTAATATAGATTTATCAGGTCATTCCTCAGTTCATGCAGAGAATTGAAAATAGAAAACATTGAGATTTTCTTATATGATATGTAAAAAATACAGCAAATCAACGATTAATTTTAACTGTTAACTTAGTTGTTTTCCAGACCTGTTTATCACAACTACATATAGGTCATTTTTTCAGGATTTCCAATACCAATGATTTACGATTTCTAATGATTTCATCAGTGAGTGGTAGAAAAAAATTAAGTATTATAAACTGATTATTTTATATACATCAAAAAACAAACATGCGTAAAATGTTTCTATAAATCCAAAAAGCCCAATGTGGACCTCTTTTTTTGTCAGAGTAACAACATACCAACCACAACAGCCTGGTTGAATTCCTATGTCACTTACAGCTCTGTCTGCCTTACTGGTCCTGTGGCTTCCACTGAGCTCTTTGTAGCAGAGGATTCTGTGGACCACCACTGCCCCGGTCAGGGGGCTCTGGAGTCCATGCTGGTGGAGGACATTCGGGCTGCTGTTCTTCAGCCTCCGCATCACTGTCTGCAATGCTGGGCTTGCCTGATGATCCGTAGCGCTGATGTGGAGCTCGCGGTCTGGAGTCAGTGGAACTGGAGCTCAGGTGGGATGGCCCATGTCCCCTCTGCTCTTCCCTCACTTCATCCTCCACACTTGCCACAGAGTGCATCTCTCTGAGAGGGTCCAGCCTCATTGCCCTGGATGAGGCGAGCCGAGGCTGTTTAGACCTGGGCCTGGCTGACCGGGAAATGAGTTCGAAGGCAGTGTCACCATCGCCTGAAAAATACAGCATCTAAGTCAGTGTTTCTCAATCCTGGTCTTTGCGTACTGCACCCTGCATATTTTAGTGTTTTCTTGCTCTGACACATTCACTTTTAGCTCATAAAGAGCTTGCTAAATAGCTAATTACTTGGATGTGATGTGATAGAGTAGGAAGAACCCAAAAATATTCAGGCCAGGGCTTCCAAGGCCAGGGCTTCTGGGGCCAAGTTTGCGAAGCACTGGTCTTTACAGGATATGACAAAGGCAGTCATGGCAATTATGTCCATGATATTGATTAGGTTGCTAATAAGCTACTTGTGAACTCTATTCTACAAATGAAGCTGTTTAACAATGGATATGGTGTAATTACATAACTGAATTGAGTGGATCATACATCAAGGAAGAGCAAATCATGGTGTGTGCTTGAGTATTTTACTCAAATAGGACGAACTACACTGCACATTGTTCTCACCATTGTGACGGAATCTCTCTGTAGCAGACCTGTAGTCCAGACTCTGACCCAGAGGCAGAGAAAAGTACTTCTGGGATCTGATCGCTTCCTGGGAGTGCAAAATGAAAAATGGAATTTGATCTAACATATGGAAAAGTACAGTGGAATTCCATGATGCACTAAGAATAATGTTTCATACTGAGCCTTGGAAGCTTCTAGCTCTGAGGCTGCGTCGGATGCTGGTGTGCCGCCTGACCAGGATCTCTCTGGCTCTGCTATCGTTGGGCAGGGCATGCTTATTGGTGTAGGACACCGTCTGAGAGAATAAAGGATAACATCACAAGAACACAAAATTCACTTTACACTTCAAACTTAAACAGGGGCAAAATATTCCTTTGGCATTTGTGATCAATCTGTTTATTAGGATTTCACTCACATTTGTGTTATTTCATAAATAACATTATTATTATGAAGTTGTTATATATTCACTGTCGAAGCAATTATATCGACTAATTATCCTAACAGAACGCATATCTGCTAAAGGAATAATTGAATGCGTGTTGTATTACATTAGAGCCTAAAATTCATTAGTATAATATAGAACGCATAATAAGACAATGTTTAAAGTAAGGATTGTCACTTACTTACAAAGTATGAACTTCATTTTAAAGACACAGTTACACACTTTCCTAAGAGTGCAAAAATCCAAGTAAATACAGTTATGTGGACAGGCGACAATCTTTATGAGACACATGTCGGTCTTACTCAGCATTGTGTTGGGCTCTGTATTAGACTGTAACTAAATGAACAGCAGTTAAAGCTAATCTTTCACATTGATACAATTGAGAAACTCACCCGCTCTCTGATCTTGTACATGTTCTTTGACAGGATTTCATGCATGGCTGTCAGATCAGATGCCAAAAATGTTTTCTTAGGTTTAGAAGAACTCTTATACGAAGTCTTCTCCTCACTAAAACAACAAAAGCAGAGAACAAAACAGATATGAGCTTTGCCTTTACCACATGTTAAAATGATTTAACACTATGCACAGTACATAAAATGAAGAAGTAGTAAGAGAAGACATACTGCAGTGAGATGAGTGAAGGTGCTGCGCTAATGTCACCAGAAATTGTGTCCAAAACCTCCATGGCATTCTGAAGCTCCAGCTTCTTATACAGCGCAACAATGCTTGACTCAGGGCGGTCATCACGGATCAAAATCTTACGGATGTAACGGTTATTAAACCTCATAAACCTAGATGACATATGGACAACCAGACATTATAGTTGTTAGGAATCATGCTAATTATTATGCAAAAACTCTGAACAGCAGTTAATAGCTTGGAGGTTGTGTTTTAAGAACATAGCATTTGTATATAAATTGGGGAAAAAAGGCTTTGATCAAGTTGCCTACTAAAAACGATCTATTGAATAACAGACAACACTTGAACCAGATCAAGGGTCTTGAAGCAGGTCAGCTGGTTCAATTCTTTTTCTATGTAGAGAACCATTGACACAGACATAACATTTGCAGACGTTGTACTTGATGTGGTCTGGAGCAGCTGGCAAGTGGAACGAACCATTTTATCTAGTCTATGCATCAGAAAGAGGGAATGACAGAAAAAGTTAAAGATGTTACATAAAATGCAAACCTGTGCTTAATCAACTGTACTGAATGAAATTAAAACCACTGAGTAGCACGAAGGACCTGATACAGTCAGTCTTACAGCCTGCCTTCATATATATCACTTGATAGAAATTACTGAGAGTTAAATAATACATAACATTATTAAAATTATTAATTTTATTAAACAGAAATATTACAAGATTATCATGTTTATTTCTAGTGCAAACCCATCTTGTGATCACAGACCCAATACTTACTTATCTTTCAAGGAATGGTGGCTCCACTGTCCACACAGATCCTCTACCCCCGCAATGATATGTTCCATCAACTGAAAGCCAGCAGAAAGGCAACTTGATCATGACTAGTGAAAGTTTGTTTCTTAGAGCAGAGTAATGAACGTTTAATGTCAAATTGTCTCTACTCATCAACATCAAGCTTGATTGTCAGACATCATTTATGTCAGGAATGCTTTAATAATATAGACCAGGATGTCCAACACTGATTACCTACCCTTGAGTGGATCTCAACATTGATGGTGCCAAGATTCCGGTTGGTCTTACGTACATTCATCAGTTCAATAATTGGCCTTATACTGACACCCTACAAATAAAAAAGGATAATCATGTAGAAGGTTAAAGGGTTCCACCAATTTGCAATATGTTTTGAATAATGTAATTGTTAGGATGTAAACAAAGTCAATGTGAATGTACCATTCTGGAGAAATCAAAGAATTTAATGCCACTAAAAGCCACCTCACAGAAAGTTATTACATGAAAATGGTAACAAACATATTTATACCTGAGATGTTGTTTTATGGTAGTTTTAAGATAAGATATTAGCCTAAAAGATATTTTGTAATTCATTAATGGCAGAAAGGTCCATGAAGGATGTGTCATGAGGCAAAACAGGACCGAAAGAAAGCTTAGATTTTCTGATTTATCACAATTTTATCATTTATCAGCATTTCATCGAAAAACTCACTGATTGAGTTCACTGATTGTCTTGGATAGTAAATAAAATGGCTATATTTGCACTGCAGACATCATGCCCTCTGGTTCCTATTACCATCACTGTAAGGTTGGCAAGTTACACTGCAATTAACAATTTCCTGTCATAACACATTTTAATGATTGAATTATGCAGAAACTTTGAAAATTAGAATTCATTTTTAAGCTTGCTTACTCTTTAACTAAAGCAAACTTTCAATCATCTTAATATCTGATTATACTCAATCTTTGTCAGGAAAATGATTCAGTTTCCTGGCATAAAAAAACTTGTAATTGCATAGCCTACACTTACTTTGATTACTGTGAACTCTTGTGAAATCTTGGATAAATTCTTTAATAGCCTAATTATCTGATTACCTGGATGAAGACTGTGAAGATGATGATGACAATCGTGGCTGTGACAAAAAGTTTTTTTTGAACAATAGTGTCTGGAAGAGTGTAGACTAGGGCAAACGTTATCGCCCCTCTAAGGCCACCATAGGCAAGACCAAACTGGTCTTTAAAGTTAAATGGAATGGTGCGGAAAGGGTTAATGATCTGTGTTAGAACCACGATGCCTGAAAGACAATAAATGAGGACAGATTAATGAGGACTGACATTCATTGCATCATTGAACAAACTGATAAAGCATCAGTTTGAATGCTCTGAACGATAGTTAAGATGATCTTCAATGCTTTTAAAGATGACACTGCAATGCACTGGATGTGATTAGTCTTGAAATCTTGACTGATCTTAAAATTGATCTTTACTTATTTTTGTGCTTGGAATGAATCATTCCACATCCCTGCTATATTACACTTTAACAGAAACAGCTGCAAAGTCTCACTCTGCATGATGAATACTCTCACATATAAACACAAGTTTAACCCCCTTACCCAGGCCTCTCCAGATTTGGGCGAACAGCAGAGTGAAGAGGATGTAACCCCAGTTCCACTCATGATCAGTTGTTATGGTAACAACACCCAGGAAGAAGAAGATGAGTGTCTCTGACACTGTGCCAAGCATTTTGATGACATGACGAATAGTGGTGCACGAGCGCTGGGACACATTCTCTTCCACATAGTACTTCATGGTCAAGGCACAGGTCACAATGCTGATGATATTATAATGAAACCATCAGGGACATACAGATGATGCAGTGTGCTGTCTGTATATACTGTGGTCAGTGTAAAAACTTTTTGGGGTATGTTAGCAACTTTAGTACCTTACAAAAGCAAGAGATCACCATTCATTTATTTCCAGTCAAAACAACCATTAAGTACACATTATCCATTTTTTAGCATCAAGAAAAAAGCAGAAAAATATATATAACAGAAAATAACACATAAGTCTCAACAGCTATAATATCAAAATTTTGAATATTTAGAGTGTTCACCCACTGTGTTTATTACAGCTTCAATTTTTTCAGGAGACTCGCTTTCATTTTTTTGGGATATTTTTCCACACCTCCAAATTTCATTCTTAGAAGGTGGTTGCATTTTCTACTCCTCACAGTAATAACACTTACAAATATATATCATCAATCCATTACACCTTCCTCAACATCTCAGATGCCCTGACTGTTAGAAACAAAGGTACTCTGCAGGTATATTTTTGTTCATCAAGGTACAAACAATATGAATGTACGCTCAAAGGTACAACAGTGGTTTTAAGGTCGAACTGTGTACCATAAATAAGTATTTCCCAGTGGAAAAGTACATATTTGTACTTTTTCATTAGCTAATGTTTTAAAACAGAACAGTAAAATAAAAAGTCTGGAAACGAGATGGGGTGTGTGGAGTCATGGAGACGAGACGGGGTGTGTGGAGTCAATACAACTTAGAAAATATAATTTCAATGGATTATGGTACTATTATGTTACCCTACTAAAGGTACTGAGATGTACCTTTGAGGGTACCACCCCAGTGACAAGAGGGGTACTGCCCCAGTCACAGTTTCATACCTTTTTCCTGAGAGTGCAGTTTCCAAACTGTCACTGGGGTGATACCCTCAAGGAATTGTCTTTAGTACCTTTAGTTAGGGAACGTAATTATACAAAATTCCATTGACATTGTATATTTTTTAGGTTGCGTTGACCCAATGCAGCCTGTCTTTCCTTGAGAAGGTACAAATATGTACCTTTTCCCAGAGAAAAACTTCTTTAAGGTATACAGTTGGACCTTAAAACCATCATTGTACCTTTGAGGGTACATTCAAATTGTTTGTACCTTGATGAATGAAAAATCTACCTGCACTGTACATTTTTCTGACAGCTACACATCCTTTCAGACTCATAGCGTTGCGTTGTCTTCTCACAGTGGAAGGATGGACAGAAACACATTTTTTTTTAGATCTTAAGCAAGAGTGGAGCTTGATTTTTTTACATATCTCAAACTTGAAAGCTTTAAGTACTGTGCAGTTTTGGTTGTCTACCAGGTTTTGCACAGTTGTTAGGCCCAATTTCTTTATTGCTTTTTCATAATTTTTTTAACTTTCGTTTTTGAAACTCAAGTTTTTTCAACTGTGTTCCTTTTACTTTCCTTCCTTAAGCATGTTAATTATTTTATATCTAATCTCCTCAGAAATATCTCCTGAACAATGTATAACTAAATATATATATATTTAGTTATACATAATATATATAATAATACATATATACTAAATGCACTGTTTCACTGAAAATCAAATAAATTGAGGGTGATGTCTTGGGTAATTCTTGGGTGATGTCCAAGAATTTGTGTATGTGCATATGTGGGTGAGTGTGTGTTGCATTACTTCACTCACGCCATGATGCTGGAGATGGAGATAAGCTCAGCCAGCAGATAGGCCAGGTAGCTATACATGAAGATGAAGAGGGGCTCAATCTCTCTCACCTTCTTCGTGAAGCGTGTGGTGAAAGCTGCCACAAAGCCAAACACGAAACCAAAGACCATTCCACCTAGGCCCACCAGAAAAAAACGCACCACACCCAGCAGCACGTCTGTAGCGTCCACCACTGGCAACTCCGCCACGTGGTTGAACAGATTATACAGCACCTGAAAAAAGGGGGCATCTCAAACATGAGTCAGTATTTCATATACTGAGAGACAATATCACATACTAGCAACACAGCAACAATGTGGAAAAACAACAAAAAAGATAGAAGATGTAAATCTTCACATAGGAAGATGTAAATGCTAACATTCAAGTGATGTGCTAAACAAGCAATCCCTTAACTCTACATGAGGTTTTGCTAAGAAAACTACAGCTACTTCCTCATGGGTCTGATTATGAGGACAGGTATAGGCAAATTTACATTCTGTTCTACCAATGTTAAACATCTTTTTAACAAATTGCTTAAAAAATAGTTATATATTGTGCTATAAGCTTATGAAATAGTTCTAGGGTTTGTAATTTTGAATCTGGAGGCATCTTCCTGGCCTGACTGAAGAAAGTTCTACTCCTTTCCTGGTCATTGTGCCACAGAAACTCCAAGTTTCCAGGTGGCAACCACGCCTGCTCTTACATGGTCAAATGTTTGCCCTTGTTGTCAGTAACTGTGTGTAAAACAAAGGACTTGCTAACAAAGGCAGGTGCGGTACTGCTCTCAAAAGATTGCTAAAAGCTTTAGAACAAACACTGTTCATACACTTTTTACTTCCAGATTTTGAAAGATGGAGTGGAATTGTATGACATCCATCTGTGTCTGTTTATCTTTGTTTTGTTTGCTATAGCATGGTAGAAAGGTTAAGCTGATAGAGAGATTAACCCAGGTGAAGCATTTCAGCATATCGCATAACTTCTGATTCAAATAACCGCTGCATAGACTGAAAGGTCCGTTGCACAGACAATAGTTCTCAATAGCTATTATTTACATTTTCAAAAGTCAAATACTCCAATGGGCAACACAGTCTCATAACAAATGAACAGAAATACCAATAAGGTGTTATAAAAAATGAATAACAATACCAATAAAGTTTAAAGATATTTATACACAGAGAAGGATGGGAATGGATTTAAAATACTGTATAAAACCGCAGTAGAATCTCATCATAAATGCTAAATAAACTATACTGAGTTAAGAGCCTTTGACTCCAATTCCCTGAAGCTGCAGTAGCAGGTATGACTGATTGCACTCTTAAAAATAAAGGTTCCTACATGGTTCTCTGCTTGTATGTAAAGGAAAAGCCTGTAATTATATAGAATAGGGGTGCCCAATCTGTTCTGTCTTGGAGAGGCAAAAGTGTAATACCTGTGGTCAAGAGCCAAAAACACAAAATATTATACAAATTAAGAAGGTATGCAGGTCTCAAACCTAGTTTTTAAATTGATATTTTATAAAATTGCACTATATTTTGTTACTAAAACTTAATGATTACAAATTCACAAGTAAAACAGCAATTTAACAAGCTATATAATATAAAAATATGTTTGTTCTCTCACTGAGGGGCAAAGCAAGCTTTCTCACTTTGGGCAGTACATATATAGAAATTTCACATTATTTGGTAATTCTTTAACTTTTAAAATAGTTCTTCACACTCACATATCTTGATTTTAAAATGGTTCTTTAAAACACCATCTACTGGAAGGAGAGCCAAAAATGGTTTTTCTATGGCATTGCTCCAAAGAACCTTCTCTGGAACCTTTATGTTTAAGAGTTTATAGACACTTTCATGGCTCACAAAGAAATACAAGTCATCAGTTCAGTGTAGAAAGCAGACCTAGATATCAGACAAAGCTAAACAAGGCCAACTTGATTATCCTATAATGAGTTAGATGGTCCTTTGATGCAAAACAAGGTGTCACCATTACCATATATGAGCTTGAAAATCTAGCTGTGCAAATACACTCACCACAGTGACAGCATCATTAAATAGGGATTCGCCAAAAACCACAATGTAAAGCTGCTCATGGATGTTCACATCCTCAAACACAGTGAGCACTGCCACTGGATCCACAGCTGAGATGATGGAGGCAAAGAGCAGGTTCTCCTGCAGGTTGATGTCCTGAACACCAAGGGCCTGGATCTGACACACACCATAAAGGGAGATTCCAACACCGATGGAGTTCCATAATGTGCCTACAATGGAAAACCACAGCACCGTGCCCATGTTCTCAAAGAAGGCCTGAGTGGGCATGAAGTAGGCCGAGTCCAGGACAATGGGAGGCAGCATGTAGAGGAAGAAGATGCTGGAGGTGAGGACTGCTGGAGGCTGTTCATGCACAGAGTACATAATGGCTCCCACAATAAGGCCAATAGCGATCAGCAAGCAGGTCTCTGGAACCCAAACTGTGATCTTATGGTACACATGAAAACCTGTTTGTAGAGGTTAAAGAAAAGGTCATACCTGTAGGGTTTGAATGTACCTGCATACCAAATAAAGTTTCAAAGGTTGCTGTATTTATTGGAATAATAATAAGACAAGTCAAATAATCTGCTCAACATATTCATTACACTTTAAAATAGCCAGTTTCCATGAGCAATATGTATGAGGCAAAAAGTAATGGAGAATACAAGAAAGTTCACAGGGAACTTGTGATAGAAACTGCTTATCAACTTTAGGCTGTGTTTGCTTACCTATTTTCGCAAACGAAGCCAGCAACACCCATAATGTAATCTCAAAAGGAATCTGAACACGAGGGTAATTAATGGTGAACAGGGGGAGGTAGGTCTTCTCTGGCTCAGGAAACACCTGAGGAACAGTATTTACTGGCCCATGTGCTGTAGGTTTAGATGGAGCCTTAGTAGTTGCTGGTTTTGGTGAAACCTCTGTGTTAGTTCCAAAAACGAGCAGTGCCAGCACTGCACAAGATATGCAAACGGCAAAAACTGGCCTGGTGTAAGACAAAAAGCCCATCTTCTCATCCACGGTGTAAGCCCTTGTGAAGAATCTTAGAAGAAATTTGCTGTTTTCCAATCACAGCCAATCACTGTGAGCAGTACAACAGATGATACAAGAAAAAATCATACAACAAACAATTTAATATAAAAAATGAATCCCATCACATTTACAGTCCATTATTAGCCCATGATTGTCCAGAATTAGTCCTTCAGTGTATTAGCATGCTGTACAAGGCTCTTTTGTTGCTCCCTCCTCGGTTCCCTTCGCTGTCTGCATTCACCTGCACTTCACTTCACTCTGAGAGGCTCTAGAGGGCGTGGCCTCCTGATCGCACCTGAAGGACAGCAGGATCGCTCTGTACTGTTCATCAAGTGAGCACCACCAAACTTCATCTACAACATCTCCAACCTCCAAGGTTGAGGACACTGCATTGTAAAATCTAATATTTTTTTATTTAGTTTACTTATTTGTTAAAATTACTAATACAAATCTAGTAACAATTCCTATTTCTTGTATAATCCTTAGTTACTCATGTAAATCAAGTTAAAGATCTGATAAAGTCCTACAGACTGAAGAGTCTTCGCCCAAAAAGCTTCCCAGCATTCTTGGCAGCTTTGCTGGTTTGTGTTAAGTAACTTTTATTTTCCTAATTTATAAATATAATTCTCTTTGTAAAATATTATTTTTTGTCATAGCATACCTTCATGTTAAATGAGAAAATTGTTATTTTTGTTATCCTCACCATGATGGTGTTTTGTGGTCAGGTGTACCAGTTCATTCTGGAGCTGTAAAGATAATCAAAAGGGCAGACACATATAAAGTCCTCAGAAATGGGTCGTAATAGTCTTGTCTTGAATGGGACACTCAGTTTACTGTAATGGAGGTGTTTTACTTCTTGTTTTAATTTAATAAAAACATTAGCCAAGAAGAATACTTGATTCAAGTTCACCTAATCAATTCAAGAATAAGCAGAACTTGAAAAAGTAGAGCACTAGCAGCTAAATGGTCACCGTTTGAAATGAATGGGCAGTTGGAGTTAACCTTACTTGCTGCAGAAGTGTGGATCACTGAAAATTAGAAAGCAACTATAACTCACATATAAAGTTATTTAAGCCTGAGCCTGTTAAGTAACTTAAAAAAAGAGCATTAAGTTTGTATGATTTTTTTTTTTTTAAAGTAAAGGCAACTCATTTTATTTTACAATGTGAGACCACTTTCAGGTAAATGTTCTCGTTACTCAGTCAAATGAAGTGTAATGTACCAGAAAAGCAACTTCAGCTGGAGTAGCAGGTGAAGTACCCAGTCAAAGCACTTCCTCAAGTACTGAGTTCTAGTGATTCTGAGCCTTGGTCCTGGAAGCCCCATGTCCTACACTTTGGTGTTATCTGTGCTCTAATACAACCATCACGTGCATAGGAGCAGGGAAAACATAAAAATGTGCACAGCAGGGGGGCTTTAAAACCAGGACTGAGGGCCACTGTAATAGAGAACTACAGTGGACCTTCATACATCCAGCAAATATCATCAAATGAAACTGAAGTTTCTAAGATACTATTCTTCTATTTTTGGTAAGTGAGCGACGTGCAGCACAGCAGTCCAGGTGCTGGTCACCAACAGAACAGACTGAAATAGGAATTAGGAGGTAAATGTGAAGGACTAAAATGAAACTGAGAAAAATGTCCATTCTTTTCTTCACTTGAGTGTAAGTACAAGCCTATTATCCTTGAAAAATACTTTTTTTATATATCACTAGTACCGAATAATAGTAATAGCAGAAGAAAAACAGTTTCTACTATTGCTGCTAAACTTTATCACCAGTCTGTAAAGCACTAAACATTTGTTGGGCTACTAGCCAGTTCTGATGACCTCCTCAAGCAGTTTAGCAATACTGCAATAAGCTATGTGATATTGAAAGTCATGATCTGAGATTTTTAGCAAATAAAGAGTGACAGCACAGTACAGTACAGCAGAGGTGTAGAGTAACCACCGTAGACTCAGAGTGCAGTAGACATGTTTTAATGTCCATGCCCTGTTTATCATTGGGCATCGTATCATTCAGTTTCATTTAGTGTGGGTTAAATGAATGAACCCATGCAACGCACTTGCCACAGGCTACTTTTGTAAACAATGTGTTTGCAGTCTTAGGTGCTGACCACTAGCCGGCAGTGTGCCTGCGCCTCTCCTCTGTTTCCATACAGTCAGTGCCAGTGTGGTGCAGAATAGAGCAGTGCACAACAAACCGACCCCTGTAGCTGAACCATTTATTCCACACTGTCCTACATAACACAGTCAAAGTAGAAGTGTAAAATATTGTTGAGGTTTGACATGTTGGAACCTCTATAGTGCACCAGTAGTGCCAAATTACAAAAAAAGCAATGAGTACAGTACAGTTTTATTTAACATTTCACATGTGCTGCATTGAAGCTAATTAAACAGCACTAACCATGCTCTGTATTGAAACATGCAGAAAAGCGTATTATGACATAATCTGGATTAATCTAAAGTCTCGGGCCTCGCTAGAGGGCTATAAGCCCCTCCCCCAGCTTCGGGCTGTGGAACAGTGAAACTGTGTTCTCTGGAGTGAAGGAGCTCCTTCCAATAACTTTGGGATGAGCTGGAGTGGAGTTTGTTATCCAGTATCAGTACCTGACCTCACTAATGCCCTTGTGGCTGAATGCAATCAAATCCTCACAGCAATGTTCCAAAAAAGAACAGCAGAAGCCGTTGCTACTCCCTTTTAATGCAGTAGTGTGTAGTGTGTATGACAGCGGTCACAGCGTTTTGAGGTGGACCAGTTCGGGCACACACAGTCAGTGTAACAGGGCGAAACCGCGACTGGCGGAGGCGGAACCAAGTCTGACGTCATCGAGCTGAGTGACGGAGTAACAGGGCGAGTCTGGAGGTCTATACATTACAGAGCGAGTGTAAGAGCTGCAGATTAAAGGCATTAAAAACAGCAGAAAAGGGTCCACAGACGTTGTGAAAATGGACCGAGTCTGTGACTGAAGCGTAAGTCTCCTCTGCCTCATCATCAGAGCTGAACAGCTTTCGTGTGCATCGCGGCTGGATGGGATAGAGTGAATGATCGCGCGAGTGAAAAGCAATAAACAAGCGAATCGTATCTGTTAGGGTGGTGTAGGAAAGGCTGGGCGATTTTAAATGGGATCGCTTCTCAAAGGGCTTGTGTTGCTGTGAGTGGTGTTACAGGAGCAGAACGGAAGAGCTCTTTATAGCGGTAGAGCAGCACATGACTGGACAACAGCGCTCCACCGATTGATTTAACGGACTGTCTTTCTGCAAGAGAATACATGAAATCGAGATGTTGTCGTAGTTCACTGGGGTCTAAATTTGCTGAACGTGTTAATCGCTGGTAGGCTGTGCAGCGCCGTGTTGGTTATGAGCTGTAAATCTCATGAATTTCCTGTTTCACACAACGTTAGTTGCTTTGGATTCGGTTTGCTGCAGACAGGCTGAGTTTTGACTCAAACGGACAAGGCCTCCTTTTCTGCCAGTTTTCGAAGGAAAACTGCTCATTTGGTCTGAGAGGAAATTGCTGTAGTGCATCCTCAGACTGACATCATCATGACTGAGGCAGGTCCATTATAAGCGGCTGACACACTCAGTAGGAAAGTACCGCTGTTTTTGTAAAGACAAGCGCCTCACTGTTTGAGCGTTTCTTCTTCTTCATTGTTTCCTTCTGTTTTTTTATGTGTGGAACTGTGTCCACTCGTTGTCAGTGTTGCTACTGGTCTGTTCCAGTGTTCTCCCTCTCTAGGTTTTAGAGGCCTACTGTGTTATGTTTAGAGATATTGACTGGTAAGAATGGCTCATTCACTGTAAACATTTCAAAAGCAAGCAGTGATGTTTTTTGTTTTTTTTTTTGTAGTCAGCCTTTGCAAGTTAGACTTTAAGATAAATGTGGACATGTGCACGCCATATGAGTAGATGTTGAGGGTGTAACAGTTTAAATACATCCAAAATCGTAAATAAATCAAAGTATCAAAAACCTATCATTGATACAGACCTGTCTTTTGAGGGTCTCCCATTTGCCATCTTTTGTGGAAACCACTAGGTTACATGTTATATGTCATATATTATAAACCACATATGTTATATGGGCACCCTCACTAACAAAAACTGGACATATAAATTTAATAAGTTTTATCTTTGAGGGTTATTCTATTATCAGAAATTGAATCTTGACCTCACAATCGAAAATCCTGTTGAACCTGACAGTATGCGTATCGTTACATCCCTTGTACAACACTGTTTCCAAAAAAGTTGGGATGCAATGATGTGCATATTTAAATTTAAACCATATGTTTATTGAAAATAGTACAAAGACAGCATATCAAATGTATAAACTGAGAAATTTTGAATTTGATGCCATATATCATGTATATCATCAAACTGTTTTCACAGACAGTGGTTTTTGGAAGTGTTCCTGAGTCCATGCAGTGATTTCTACTACAGAATCATGTCTTTTTTTAATGCAGTGTCACCTGAGGGCCTGAAGATCATGGCCAGTTAATATTGGTTTTCAGCCTTGTCCCTTGTGCACAGAGATTTCTCTGGATTCTCTAAAACTTTTAATGACATTATGTACTGTAGATGATAAAATCCCCAACTTCTTTGCTATTTTACATTGAGAAACGTTATTTTGAGAAACGTTTGCCTGCGCAGTCTGTCACAGAGTGGTGAACCCCTCCTCACCATTACTTCTGGAAGACTCAGCCTCTCTGGAATGTTCTTTTTACACTCAATCATGTTACTGACCTGTTGCCAATTGACATAATTAGTTGTGAGATATTCCACCAGGTGTTTTTTAGCATTACACAACTTTTGTTGCCCCTGTCCCAACTTTTTTGAAACATGTTGCTGGCATCAAATACAAAATAGGCACATCTTTTTTAAAAAACAAGAAAGTTTTTCAGTTTCAACATTTGATATGTTGTTTTTATACTATATTCAATTAAATACAGAATTTAAATGATTTGAACATGACTGCATTCTGTTTTTGTTTATTTTATTTTGCACAGTGTCCCACATTTTTTGAAAATGGGTTTGTAGATGATGCTAAGTGATGGTCAGCTTAAGATCTAAAGTATGAGAGTTCAACACCAATTCATTATACTGCTCACAGAATCCTTTGTAAAGAGCTGAAAGTGCAATGATTCAGACTTTCCAGCTCCAGTAAAACAGGAACGCAAGCACATAGAGTTCTAGGTCAATACCCAATGCTAGTGGCAGAAATGAATGAGTCTAAACCTACTGCCATTATAGCCACAAGAAGATTTAGCTGACCATGCACTCTGACCTCTCCTTGTGGGGCCAGAAAAATAAATGCTTCTGTATTCAAATGAATGTATTCATATATAAAACCAAGAAAATCCAGTGTGATTGAGAAAAACATGGAAAAAGGACAAATGTACATGATTTGGTTTAACCATTTAAGGTAAAATTTGCATTCGGTCACCTTCTTGTATCCCCACAGCAACATCTTCTAGAGATTTTATAGGTTTGAATCAGAGTGTGTCTGTAATATTTAATGTAAAGGCTTTAGGTTTTGATCCCAGTAGTGTAGTAGAAACCCTGCCAACTTCAGACAACTGTCTAGAGACCATATGTCTTGAAAGTGAGAGTGACAGTTAGTGAGTGTTATTGAGGCTCTAAGGTATGAGAGTTGACTGAGGCAAACATTCAAGGAGATTGAAAGAGAGGAGAAAAAAACGGCTCAATAAGCAAAAGACTGAGATAGCTCTGAGATAGCGCCGCAGTGCAGCCAGTTCCGAGGAGGGTTTTAGAGTGGGGAGGGATCCTGTTTTGCTGGATCTGTCAGGCCTGCTGTGCACCTACAGGGAGTCCACTTCATCCCTTACAGCCACAGCTGCAAGACAGCCAGGCTGTTCCCTTCCACTGATAACTCACCCAAAAACCCCAAAGACCTTTTAGAAAGTGGACCACTCTGCAAATATATAGTTTGCTAAACATTAGTATTGTATTACTGGCCTTTGCAGTCTGAGATTTTGCTATATAATATAAAAATTGGTATAATAATAAAGAATATTATCTTCATTACTGATATTGCAGGCTGTAATCACAGTGTTTTTTATTGTATGCTGTGAGCACCCAGACCCATTACAGTTACATATGACCTGTGAGTCAAAGTATTCATGTAATCTAAGTGTTTGTGTAATCCAACAAAAGTACATTGTTTTGGTCAAAATAATGCAGGCCAGTCTTTAACCACATCACTTTATTGCTTCCTCAATGCATTTTCAATATGGTACAATGAATGTTGCAATTACAATACAATCTAATACAAAGGCATTTCTGGTCAAATTACATGTTTTGTTGATTTTCTAAATGAGAATAAGTTAACACATTCTCTACAGAGACATGCTTGTGCATTACTGGTTATTTTAATATATGGGGGGAAAAAATAAGTAATAAAATGTGACGTGCAAAAGTTATGGCACATTTATGTTGTACATTTTTTTTTCAGTATATTAAACTTCAGAAAAATACCACATTAGAACATCAACAAAAACATAATTTGACTAGGGATGTTCAAACTTTTGCATACGATTGTATGTAGCAATATAATCACAACACTAGGCCTCTCAAGCGTGCAGATCTCCCGCAGACAGTAGTGATCATGTATTATGGACTTGTAACAGCAGACCACCAATTCATAGCCAAATTACTGTTGTGATCTAATCATTGTACAGTACATTCCCAGAGGATTTCAGTGGTCATGGGAACTAAAGGGCAGTAACCAGGCTTTTCTTCTCCTGTAAAGCTTTTTGCAGCCTGTATACCTCACAAACACTGCTAAATCATGCATGAACAACAGATACCCTTACTGGCCGCAGCCCTGTAATTTCTGATGTTAAAGTGCCCATTTCTGCCCACTCTCTTTTTTTTACTTAACGAATGTTGGTTGAAAATGTACACACTTCTGTTTGCTAAGAGCACTAAAGAAGGTTCTCATGAAGGCAGACATTCATTCATGCTGTACAAAATAATAGAGAAATGAAGATGAAAGGAAAGCATGGAGAATCCTGTTCTTACACATAAAGAGTCATCACTAAATGTAGTTGGCTGCTTTTTATGGACATAGCTCTTCTAGTTATATTTTGATATGAATCCAGCCAAAAAACAGGGATTAGTGCTACAGGCGATTTCTTGGTTTGTGACACATGCATATTAGCGTGCCATAATCATTGTTTTTATTTCATTAATATGTATTCTCAAATATACTACAGGCTTCATGTTGTGACATACTGAGATGTTGACATGGTATATGGTATTTCCTTCAAGTGGCCGTGTTTATACTGCACTGTAGTTAAGAGAACATGAATAGCCATTCATGCAGAAGTGCCTTTATACATGAATGCACTGACTCTATGGATGTTAATGACGCACATAAGATCTGCGGAATAACACAGACAAGACAAAAAAGAGTGTGTGTGATTTCTTAATGTCACAGGAGTGTTTGATTTTAAGATGCTCTTCTTGTGTCAGACGATGGTGAGTGAAAGTAAAGTTTCACTTCATCTAAAATGTAAGAGCCTGTTTGTCTTTACTTTGATTTCAGGAATATGTGTAGTGACCAGCTCACTGTTTAGGCCTTTCACTATCACTGTTACTTGAAAATGGTAGGCATCACATGTGACGTTTATCAGGAAATAATGATGGTAAAATATCCAAAAAATTAGAACTTGACCGATATATCACTTGGCCATAATATTAGCCGATATGGACACAGTTTTAATGATATTGGTGAAAATATCTACTATCTAATGTCTTTTCTGGTTACACATATTTTTGTTATAACAACAGAAAATATTTTCTATGAAGACAAAATTTCTGGGTTGCGATGCCCCCAGTGCTACAATATTGATATTATTTAAGACTATGTGTTTCTGCTGTTTCTATCAGTTAAAAAATTGTGATCATATTTTACAATTCACAGTTGACAGCTAACAGTCATATCAGTCTAAACCAGGGGTGGTGAACTCCAGTCCTAGAGGAGTTCTGCACAATTTGGTGGTTGTCCTACTCATACACTCAGCAGCCAATTGCCAAGTTCATGATTCAACTCGGCAGCCAGTTGCCACATTCAGTAGGTGTGTTAGGGGCAGGAAGAATGCTAATCCAAGTAGATGTAGTCATAATTTATACATTTTATCAATATGTGTCGGCATCAGTTTCAGCATCATCAGATTCATACATGAAAAATATTGCATATCGGCATTGGCCCACAATTCCAAATATCTGTGCGTCCGTAGTCTTTTTATACCTTAAGCTGAATTCTGCCTATGTGAAGGAACTGAATAATGAATGAATGGATGGATGGTTCTGAGCGCTGTTGTAAGCCATGTTTGATGACAGGAGTTAGGCAAGAGGGGGTCATTTGATGAACAGATTGAAGAGCTTGAAACAGGGCTGCGCCATGAAGGAGAGAGAGTGAGAGAGGATTAGCCATCGTGAGAGGAGAGCGAGCGGGAACAGAAGAGGGAGAAAGACGCATTCAAGGCTGTCATGGTTTGTTTACATTCTGCGTCATAGCTGCAAAAGAGCTCATAATGTTAGAGACAGTCTGGTACTAAACTAGCAGTTCCACATTTGCATTGTACATCAATCACCTAATCACATAGCTCATACTCAGTCTGACCAGACAGAGAGAGAGACAGCATTCATGAGTGTTTGTGCTAATAAAAGATTCCTTTTACTGCTTTATAAGAATGACAGAAGAGACTGAAGAGAAAGAGAGAGTTGTTATATTGTCTGTGATGAGGACATTCAGACTGCAGTACGGAGTGAAAGCTGATAAGGCAGGGTGTTGAAGATAGAGGTCATCATACAATGCCTTTATCCAGCCTCTGCAAAGCTCTGGAGGAATAATCTGTCTGCTACATGACTCCATTCACTTAGGTTGGATGACAGTAAGGTCCAAAAACTGTGTAGGAGTAAATATTTTCATACTGATTATACTGCATGCAGTGTAAAAAAAACAAAAAAAAACAAGCTAGCCCACAGTAAGGGCAGAACCTCTCTCCTCTGAAAATATTACTTCCTCTTTACCTCAAACTCGAGAGCAGGGAGGTAAAGGACACTCCTTATAAATGTATATTAGCTTGTGGCTAGTGCATTATTATTAAATATTATATGTTTCTAAAAACAGAAAGATTAACTTAAGATAAAACAATCTTTCATCCACTCCTTATTTTTGCATCAAACTGATTTATAAATGTTGTGGCACTTGGTATCCTTCTATGTGAAAGATTTAGGCACCCAAGCAAATTGTTTAAAAACATTCATCTGGACAATAAATGTGTTCATGCCTGTAAAAACAAATTGTACATTTAAAAAGGTGCCACAAAGGGTTCTTTGAGCAATGTTATGTTATAGATGAACTACATTTGGGACACCAAAGAGTCATGTTTGAGTAAAAGACTGCAGAGTGCCCCCAACTGGCATAGCCATCTAAGTGTTGGCCCTATCATTAGATTGCAGTTTTGATCCCCAGTGATGCTGTAGCTAATCATGACCAGGAGTCCAAGGGAACACATTTGGCCTCGCTCTCTCTGAGTGGGTAAGACGGCCCTCCCTCTCAGCACAATGCTAGCTAGCACAGGTGTCTATTAGCTTACACAACAGAATTGGCACTTCGCGCTCTCCTCTGAGCATGTTCACCTGATGAAGTTGCATTAGCAGCAGTTCGAAAAGATGTGGTGGCTGGCTTCAAATGACTCAGAGGAAGCATGTGCTAGCCTTCACCCTAGTAGCGCTGGTGGTATCATGTGACTGGAGAAGACCTACCTAGTTGGTAGAATTGGACATGACCAAGTTGGGAGAAAATTGTGAAAAAAATTTTGCTGAGTGTAAAGAACCTTTTGGAGAACTTGAAGAGCCTTCACAAAATGTAAATCTTCTTTACCAATTTAAGCATTCTTTAACAAGTTCAACACAGTTACACATCTCATTTACAAAAGAACCATTCATTGGAAAAAGTTAAACAAAAACATTGATATACATGGACTATTTTTTGTATTAATGTTATTTGTTGTCATTCTAATGTTAGTGTATTTCTCAGCAAAAAGACTTTCTGCCCACATGAATGGCTTTTTAAATATCCTTTTCACAAGTGACTTAGACTTGTAGACAGTAATGTATTTATTTCTTTTCAGAGTGAAAAGGTGAATCTCTCCTTAAATGTGTATGCTGTCTCTGGAGTGATGTGTGCTAAACCATCAGCAGCTCATGTGCTGTGTGGAGGCTGATAAAGGCACAGACTCTGACTCATAAGAGTGAGTCACTCTTTATGAAAGAGCACTGCAGGTTACACACAGAGTATCCCATTTTGAACAAATTAACATCATTCCATATTTAATCTACTTCAGACTTATTTTTGTTCTGATGGTAGCATACTCTGTAACCTACTCCTTTAACATGAGTGTCCTTTGCTTTTAAGAGATTAAAAGACAGATGCTGCAGCCTGAATGAAAAGCCCAAGTGGAAAAGCTGTAAAGAGCCACTATGAAGACTGAAGGATAAGCAGTGTGCATTATGCTGAAGTTTTAGCACCTGTGGCCTTATTAAAGATGTTCTTTCTTTCAGCTGCAGTTGTTTTGGTCATGGATAGAAGTAGCTACTTTCCATTACTGGCTTTTATCTGTAGTTTTAGTTATCTTTTGTCTCTGTGAGCTTGGCTATTAACACAGTCATGATCAGTGTCTGTATTAAACAAACTGCAATGCTTATTAACATAATCGCACTGTATTCCATTACAGTTATTTTTAAATTGCATTGACTCCTTACAGCATGTATTGACTTGGCTTTTATATTTCTACTTAAAAGTTTAATTATTAAAAAGGTACAAATATGCATCCTTCCAATGCACACTCTCTTTGAGATGGCTAGAAGTTAGGCTGCAGCACAGTACAGGCAGATGGATGGCTGGTGGGTTGTTGGGTGACTGTATGCTGTAGGTTGCAGCGGAGCCAGCCAAACCACCCAGTACTCATTCACAGCCCACTACCTGCTGCTATACACATTTGCCATCCGCCAAGCTCGAATCCCTCCAATTTTAGATATCAGCATTCAGATATGTGCCTACTGGCATGATTTTTTAGTTTGTTTTTCCTTTGTGCTATTTCAGAAGATCTGACGATGCTGTTCTGACGCTGAATGTTATAAATAGGCTGTTTATTTTTCGGCAGGGTTGGTTTAGTTTTGGGTTCATAAATGTTCTTTTTTCACAGCTTTGGATATCTGAATGTGTTTTATGGTAATTGGGGCTGGATATTATTCAATATATTTTATACTGATACCAATACCTGGACTTTTTTTTAATACCTTATTTAAAAAAAGAAATCAATGTTAAAATGCAAGAGGCATGTGAATGCAGTGTATTCCTGTATGCATATGTATGCTTGTAATCTAGACAGCCAATCACTATTCTAGATTTTGGAACATGTATGCTTATTGACTCACTAAGATTGTTTACTTGGGTATTGAAATTTGGTATTGAAAGACAGAATTTTTCAAAGCAATTCTGTCAATACCATAAAAACATCTCATTTTTATTCATATTCTTAATGGCAATACCTAGTGAGGACTTTTATAACACACTTCTCTCTGAAAATGATGAGAAAAGTAAGCACTCTTATGCTTTACCTCTACTTTTATTTCTCCAAGATGTCATAAACAGCATGATGTGTGAAGCCACCATCAATGAGAAAAGCAAACAGAAGACTGTTATGCCACTAGTAAGTTCTGTCATTGTCTGTGTGCCTTCATGGCACTGAGTGGATAAGCTTTAATCGATAATTTCTGGAAGGTCTGAAGAGCAGAATCATACAACATGACCCAGTTTCATCACAGTGTGCTGTCCTTTATGATGAGAAAGAAAAGGGTGGTCCTTCAGACCCTGCATCCTGACAGCCTGTGATCCTAGTATGATGACTTAGACCTCAAGCAGTGTTCTGAGAAAGTGTTGCCAGTCTATGCCACTGTCAAGGTTTTACTCTCAAGCGATGCCTCAGTGTTGTTAGTGGTTTAGAAGAGATTTCCCCCAAGTAACTGAAATTAATGCTGAGTAAAGAATAAAAGTTTCAAGCTCCATCACTGAAAAATAGAATCTGTTAATAGAATCTTTCTTTGCTTAATTCTTAAAGGAGTTTACCAAATCTTGTTATTGGCAAAATGCTTCCTCATGGTCATGAATAATCCAGTCATACAAACAGGAAAAAAGTTTTCTAGGCCTCCCCTCGTTTTCTCAAGCCCTTGTTTCTGTTGCATCCGGTTTTAATTTTAAATGGCTTCCTTTGAACTCAGATGAATAATGTACGAGCATGTTTACCAGCATAAAATCTTCTGCTGTCTCACATTAAAGCAGATCCTGAGGCTTTTGTGCACAGTTTGCCTCACAGCTGATCTTGGCGATTTTTGACACGTCGAGAGCTTCATATTTGTTGTTATTTCCTTCTCTCTCCAGTTTTCCCATTAAGAGGCCAGTTTATGGAGTAAGGCAGGCCTGGATTTTGGAGGATTGTGGAGGATTTTGTTGAAGGTACAGAGGTGTGAGGGTTTTTGGCCACTGCTCTGCAGCCCTGCTCTTCTGATTCCCAGAGGTCTTTAGTGTAATTGGAGCCAAGATGGCAGGGAGAGAGCGCAGCCCTCGCCACCGGCCCTGGTCTGTGTACCGCGCCAACACATTCGACCTGTCCTCTGAAATGATGGGCCTCACACTGGCAGGTAAGAGATGGCTGTATAGGTTTGAATGATTTTATTACTGTTGATTTAAGATTTAAGCAAATTATTTTTTGAAAGAAATTAATTATGTATTTCATGACTCAACAATGCATGAGTCTTGGGATGTTAAGAAATCTGTTTAAGATGCAGGACATATAGTAACCCTTAGACATCAAGAGTTATTTCCTTTATTTTACCATATTACTCAAATGTATTTTTTTAAATAAATTAATAAATAATTACAGCCAGATTTATATCATAATAAAATATATCTTCTTTTCCATTAAAACATAAATGTGGTATCGAGAAAAATACAATTTTCTTAAATCTAGTCAATATGTTTAATGAATGGCAGCATTTTATTATTTGAGATCATAAGTGTGACTGATAAGAGTTATTATGTTAGCCTACTAAGATTAAGCATACAGAATATCTCACTTGTGTTGTGATGGTATTCAGGAAACAGCCAGGATCCTGACGAGCCTGTGCTGGAGTTCAGTTTGGGTGAGTAGCAGACAGAAAATTGACCTCACTATTTGGTCTGAAAATTTAAACCGCTGCAGTCTGAACTGAATTGTGCATGTCCTTAAACAGTACCAACTCAATTTATGGCTGTAAATTCACACAATGACTCATGGTTCTCTAAACATTTAAAACTTTGAAGGTATTCTATCAGTAAGCATATGGACTAAAAAATTTAATACATTTTATTGGGCATTGTAACATCTCCACTCTTGTTTAGGTACTGGTCTATGTCAGAGTCTGGTATTCAGCCCTTATCTTGTGTTGTCAAGATGTTTACTGTTGTCTAATATAGAAAGTATGACAGCTGGCTTATAAATGTCTTATTGCACTCTCCTGAGCACACTCTCTGGCTAAACTAGACTTTTTTATTCAGGCTAGATGATGCAGCTATTCTGAGTCAGATAATTGGTCTCATCTGCTCATCCAAAATATATTTCCAACATGAGGAATTAATTAATAATGGCTGGGCTGTGGCCAAAAAGTTTAATTTTGGTCTCCTCCTAATTAATTAATTAAGTTGTCAAGTGTGTTTGATTATATTTGAAGGAATTATGGCAATATATATATATATATATATATATACACACACACACTCACACACACACACACACACACACACGTATGCAGATATGTGTATATAAGATCATGCTGAATATTGCCAGTCTTTCTGCCTGCACTTTTTTATTTTCTTTTACAACCCATTGTTTCTGTCCACTGACTTTTTCTTTTCGTTTTTTTCTCTCAGCATGCAGTGAGTTAGTGACTCCAGCATTGGAGCGAAAGCCCAGTAGCTTTGTAGCAGTGAGCTGCACCACCCCTCCTCAAGCTTTCTGGACGAAGCATGCTCAGACTGAGATCATAGAGGTGAGGGGGGGGGCTAAAATGGAGCTGCATGAGACTCGAGCCTACAGTTACAATTTTTTTCCATTTTTTTCAGTGTGGCAAAATTACAAGAAAAAAAAAGACTTCTAAAGATTAAGGTTAAAATACCCCAAATAAGCTGTAATATAGACTGTGTGCATTTTGTTTATGATTTGTGTATTTTTAAGGGTTTTTGTTTCTCTTTTAAGGGTACAAGTAACCCAATATTCCTCAGTAGCATCGCTTTCTTCCAAGACTCCCTGATTACCCAGCAGACTCAAGTCAAACTCTCTGCCTATGATGTCAAAGATCGTTCGCAGGGAACGGTGAGAGACCTCTGATTTTACATCCAAATCATCATTTATACTAAACTTTACATTAACTTTAACAACGAGATGATTAACTTTTTTGCACTTTATCCACTTCGATCTACTACATTTTGCAGCATGGAGTCAAGTGTTTGTGTCTTGTCTCAATGTTTTAAACAGATGTATCTGCTGGGCTCTGCCATGTTCACAGTCAAAGAACTCCTACAGGACAAATATCATAGGCTTCATCTTACACTACGGTAGGTGAACTCTGTACGAGACACACACATCTTTACATAGATCACATACACTCTGAAGACCTAATTAACCCAGCTCTGATTAAACCAACCCACAAACTCACAATTCACTGTAAGAGTCTGAGAAATGTAGTTGGTTAGAATTGTTATTTGTTCAATGGCTCAGATCAGCAGAGAATGAGAGGGTGGGCAACATCACCATTATTGCCTGGCAGATGGAGGAAAAGAAAGACCAGAGGGCTCCACTGACTCGTACAGACACAGTTAATGGCAGAGTGAGTAGAGTGTATAATGTAGTAATGTTTCTGTGCATTTAAACTGGACAATTGAGTAAGATCTGCTGTAAACAGTGGTCTACAGTCTTTATTTCAATCACATTTATTCTGGTAAAGATACAGACTTTGAAATGAATGATGTGCAGTCTTTACTCGTGATCTATGCATTACATTGTGTCCCCATATACATTGTGTATTCTGTGTGTCACAGATGGTGTTACCTGTTGATGAGAGCCTGACGGAATCCATGGGGATAAGAGCAAAATCTGCTTCTCTGTGCAAAGATACACTCTTAAAGGCTGGTTAGTGTCTGAATAATTATGTCTGATGTCTGTTTTTTGGGCTGTATGAGTTAATAGTGTATCATTTTCCGCTGTCTCAAAAACCTTTCACTTTTGAAACTGAAGCAGATGTGCCTGGGAGCATATGTTTATTTTTAGTCCTTTAATTGGTAAAAAGAGCTCATTATCCACATGCTCCCTCATTTATAACTTAATGATGTGTAGCAGGGTGGTTGAGGCTATATGAGTCATACATCTTCCAAATTCCCTACAATTTCAACTGTGTGTCAAAACTATCACTGCATTCCTTAAGACACAAGAGCAGGAATATGTTATATTAATGTAAAATTGTCCACTGATGTTCCTCCAGGAAAGTAACCTTTACTAGGTATGAAATGATCAAAGATAATTGAGTTTAGTGCATTCATGTTTGTTCACTTGAAGAATGAAACAACAATAATGCCTTTAATTGAAGTAATAAAAATTATATGGATGAATTTACTCACCTATGATTTGACAACTTGTTAACTGATACACAAATTGACCTGTTTGATGGATTTTCTTAGTTTTATTTTTTTATATTTTTTAACACCAACCTGCTCAGGGGCAGGAGATGAAAATTACCCATTTGGCCAACGTGGCACATTTGCATCATGACCAAGTGCTATTGATGAGTACACACTGTACCTGTTGAAAAAAAACAAATAAAGTACATTGATTTGTTATTGCGTTTCTGCAGTATTTGGAGGAACAATATCACGTATGTACCGTTTACCCACCACTGACGGTAACCACCTTCGTGTGCTGGAGCAGATGGCGGAAAGCGTGCTGTCTCTCCACATACCCAGACAGTTTGTAAAACTGCTCCTGGAGGAGGACGCTGCCAGGTATAATGTGTGAAAGTGTGTTGGTGCATGTGTTCAAACATTTGATTCAGTGTTTGAGGGAATGAGGAATTCTTCATCCTTGCATGTCTGTGTAATCACTTGTGTGTGTAAGGGTATGTGAGCTGGAGGAACTGGGGGAGTTGTCTCCATGCTGGGAGAATCTGAGGAGGCAGATCATCACTCAGTACCAGACCATCATTCTCACCTACCAAGAAACACTTAGTGACCTTCATGAGTACAAGGGTAAGAAGGGACTGTTATCTCCTTATAGACCTAGATGTCTAATATGTAACAGGAAATGTAACAACACTGGCTTACAGTAGTGCATAGTAGTTACAATTGCATCACTACACCCACACATATCTGTCATACAGTACTTCACTATGATACAATAACTCAGTAGTTTCTAGTCTTGGTCCTGAAATATCCCTGCCCTGCATACACTATATATACAAAAGTTTGTAGACAACTGCTCAACATTCCTTTCAAAATCAGGAGTGTTAATAGGGAGTTTGTCCACCTTTTGGCCGTAGTAACAGCCTCTAGTCTTCTGGAAAAGCTTTACACTAGATGCCGGATCACAAACCCCACTCCAGCTCATACCTATGGTATTTGATGGTGCTACATCACTCCAGAGAGCAGCCCAATGCTGGAGAGCTTTATACCCCTCTAGATGACTCTGGGCATGGTGACCCTAGACTCATGCGTGGCTGTTCCAGAGCAGCTCTTTCTATTAGCAGTGCTTCTTTGTGGAGGTAATACAAGCTGTTTGTGTGCAATTGATTGCCTGTGTCAGCAATGGGTGCATCTTAAAGTAGCTGAATTCACTAATAAGAAGCGGGGTCTGGATACCTTTGGGCACATAGTGTGTCAGTATCTTGAAAACTGTGAGATGAGTGAGGAGACAAAAATTGAGCAGAAAAATAATAAGAACAAAATGGAACAATAATATAAATCAGATAACAATAGTGTTGCACATTGAACAATCACTAAAAAAGACAGCATTGTGGTGCTTCTTTTATTTAGTGATAGAAAACGCAGAAGCACACAGAAAGGTTCAATTCTATGAGACACATTTTACTATGCCCAACATGGACATCCACATGCCCCAACTATTCTGGTGTCAAGTTTTAATGAATTAAAGGAGCAAAGCTAAAGGCCCTGAATGTAACTCTGACAAGACATCAGGAAAGATAGGGTTAATAAGTATTTCATAAGTTGAATTGGGTGTGTGTTAAAGCAGGAAAAAACATTAAAACATGCATGGCAGGCTTAATCCAGAACTGGGGTTGGGAACCTAGTGATTACTCGGTAACATGGTTGCCTAGCTTGTGATTATAATAATCAGTTTAGATAAAATCATAGGCCAATAAATAGTACCTATTCGCAAGTTATAATATTACATGCCTTTAAAACAGATTCTCTTACCTGTCACTTGTTCTTCTCTTATCAGGTCCCTCGTTCAAATCCAGTACTTTGAAAGCAGAAAGAAAGTTAGAGTTTGTGCCCACCAACCTCCACCTTCAGAGAATAAGAGTACAGGGCGAGTCAGGATATGGTAAGATACGCTGGATCTTTTCTGATTATGTTCAGCTATGCCAAAACATAGCAGGCTGGACTTCAGAAGCAGTCCAGTCTGAAACCTACATGATAGTTATTATCATGTTTTCCTTGATGCTGCTAAAAAGTCTGTAAATGTTTTAATTAAGGTGATGAGTCACATGTTTATTTCTCTTGAAAATGGTGATACTGTATTTTTGACAGCATAACTTTCATTAAATATTAGCTTGATATACTTTGACAATCAATGCAGCGCCTTTATTTGTTGTCCCTAATCTTGTTGTTAACCAAGCAATATCTATATTTACTGTGTTGTCAAGCTTTAATGACAAATATAAATGCTCAAAAACACTAACTATTCTTTGCTTGAGTTGATGTCTAGCCAGTGGATGCAAGGCAGTATAGTATCTCCTGCAACTATGTCTTCAGTTCCTGTTTGCATGAAGCTTGGGTTGAAGCAGTATATTTCCCTGCAGACCGAACCTATGATGTGGTCACTATTGGAGCCCCTGCAGCACACCATCAAGGTTTTAAAGGCAGTGGCTTGAGGAAACTAATTCAGAAGTTTGACGAGACCAAGAAACAGTAAGCTAAAAGCCTAACTTCAGTGTTCTTCCTGCTTCGGTTTAGCTACCATTACAAGGAAAAAACAGAATACGTCTAATCTTATAGTAAAGGTAATTTACAGTAGAGAGAGTAATCTAGAGGCTAGATTTAATCTCTGTTGGGAAAGCTAGACATAGAACTTTCAGTCATATTAGGATTGCTGCATACCAGCTGGCCAGTGGAATGTGATTACAGAGCTTGTGTAGGTTTGGCTAAGTGATGTTCTGGATGGTTGAGGGTCATTATTGCTTTCTCTGGAAATATTTGCTTCATTTTGCTGCTTCTTTCTCTAACATTTGGGAATGTACTGCCTTTCATTTTTCTAACTAATATATTTGCAGTAGTAATCATTTGCTTTTTTATGCTTGCTTTCTAATCAGTGCATTTGAGGATGAAGGGTGAGTTATGGGGATGCAGATTTTCAAATGTTCATTCTCATCAGTGCTGGTGCTCCATCTTGTTTTATCTTTGGCCGGTGTTTTGCCACTTTAATTTCATGCTCATAAATCACTTAGTTCAGACTTATGTGTGTTCAGGGAATGTCTTTTTGACCGCTGTAGAACGCCCCTGTGTACAGCACTCACTTGTGTACAGTGTATTTGTACATACCTGTGTTCATGTTTCACTGAGTGAATGTTTCACATGTACACTTTGATCATTACCATCTAGATGGGAAAAGACAGCAGAGAGATGAAAAATCGAGAGCGACTGTTCAAGCTTTTATGGACTAATCCACCTATACCTCTCTCACCTCTCTCTCTCCTCTCAGTGCTGGAGAGTCACGTCCACAATCAATGGTGTACCAGCCTCAGGATGTGGTACGAGCGAAAGAGATCATCTCCCACATTAACACACTGAAGACTCAGGTCAGCTACTACACCGAGCGCTTATCCCGTGCTGCTAAAGAGCGGTCAGCTAATGCACTGGAGAGAACCCTTGCCATCCTCACAGACAAGGTCAGACAGTTTGCTGTCCTTCATGAAACTTGGTGCTACATAGTTTATTACCCTGGTCAGTCTCTGTCTTGTTCTCTGGCGTCATTTCGTTCTGCCTTTTTTAGTTTCTTGCTTCCTCTTGAACCCTCTTATCCACGGCTCAGACAACTATGATTGTTTTGTTTCTCTTTGCTCTATGCTCTCTTTGTGCTATAAACAAGTGTTCTGGATCATGCATTTTCTTATTGGTTTCACATCCTGAAGCAGCCACTTCATACTCCAAACATATTACAAACACTTTAAGTATGCAACATCTTTCAACACAATAGCCCTTTTTATATTGCTCTTCTTCATTATATACATTGCTTTCCTGTTTTCTTCTCAGACAAGGCAGCTGGTGACTGTATGTGACAATAAATTGCTGGCCTCAGCTATCCAGGCCCTGAGTGCAGCACGGCCAGAGTTCATTGCCTCTAAAGCCTCTCCCTCTGCGCCAGACACTGAACGCGTGGTCCTCCGAAATGACCAGGGCTCTCCACAGGCCAAGTGGAGTGGAAAAGGGAACAGAACCTCCATGAATGTGGACTGGCATGAAGAAGAGTGGGTAAGCACCCTAAACTAGCACAAAGTGCTGACTGAAACTACAGTTGTGTGAAAAAGTGTTTGCCCCTTCCTGATTTCTTATTCTTTTGCATGTTTGTCACACGTAAATGTTTCAGATCACCAAACAAATTTAAATATTAGACAAAGATAACACAAGTACACACAAAATGGATTGGTTTGGATTTCTTTTTCCCTTAATAATAAAGATCTTCATTTATAAACTGCATTTTGTGTTTACTTGTGTTATCTTTGTCTAATATTTAAATTTGTTTGGTGATCTGAAACATTTAAGTGTGACAAACATGCAAAAGAATAAGAAATCAGGAAGGGGGCAAACACTTTTTCACACCACTGTATATTTTCTTTGCTTTTTAAAATAAAGTTTGATGTAGTATGTAAACATTGACCAAGCTTCAAAGTGTTCAGTTCACCCCTAGTTCATACAGTCTGTTTATGCAGACTAAGCTGCAAAAACAATGCGTATTAAATTTATCATGGTTGTGCTTAGGGATGCCTGATGATATCAGAACCAGATGTTTACATTTCACCAATATGTCAAAAACGATATTTGATGATGTATCTTCCATACTCCATAAGAGCAGAACGTTTAGGTGACACTGGGCTAATATGCCTGCATTTTATTCCTTTAACCGCATTTGTAACCCTATAGAAATAAACCTGACATTTCTCCGTAGTGCTAATCCAGGTTTAATCTAGTCTCAGTTTCTACATTTTATAAATGTTCATGGATCTGCATCTGCATATATGGACATGAAAAATATTGGATATCGGTATCCCATAATTCTCATGTCCCTAGTTCTGATGTCAAAACCAAGGAGTGTTTCTCGCAGAGTTAAAATCATGACGTGTTCCTGGCTTCCAAGAAGCAAATGTATCATTGCGTAGCTTTCCAAAGGATCTAGACATACAAAAAAAGGGGCTGAAGTTAATTTTCCCTGTCCCTGATGATTTAGGTTGTTCAGTACATTGCAGCCTGACCTGCTTTTTGAACCAGGCAGCCATCATAACAGGCCAATACATTTCCATATATCAGGCTTAAAGACATAGTAACAAGACCAGTCTGTTTAATTCTAAGACATAAAGAGAGGTTGGATAATGTTTATGTAAAAATGCATTACAACAATTTTTATCATTAATGCAATATGTGTTTTCATGATAAATGCTATCATTAAGGCCTGCGATGACAGACCAAATTACCTTACACATCCAGCACCAAAATTTCTCATATCATCATTGTGATATCTTACAACTTATCAAACATCACATTTTATGTCCATATCGTGCAGCGCTGGAACTGTTTTTCATATATAAAACTAAAACAAACATGTTAAGTGGACTTGAGGGTAAAATATAAAATATGAGTGTTTGTCAAGTGTGCTTGATACTGTTCACCCATGTTTACACATATACAGGAGAATCTTTTACTCAGACTATCGTCTCTATGTTCTGGTCCCCTTTCTCCCCCCTCTGCTGCAGGAGAAGGTGTGGTTAAATGTGGATAAGAGTCTGGAATGTGTGATCCGCTGTGTGGACAGGCTGCTAACGAGGGAGAGGCTGCAGAGCGACAGCAGTGAGGACGTCTTCCTCTCTGACCAGCAGCCCAACACCAGCAAGAGAGGTAGCCAGGGTGACGCGTTCTGGATCAACCCCGACTACAAGTCCGCTTCATCCTCCCTTTCCACCTCCCTTTATTCATCACATCCTCACCCTGAGTCCCCTTCATCATTACCATCATCCCTCTCTCTGACCTCTGCATGTGCACCCTCTTCTTACAGATCCTCCTGTACGTCCAGACACTATTTTTATAATGTTTTTGTTCTGAAACTTCCAGCACTGCTTTGTCTAGTGCTTTCAGTTTTACATCCCTTTTCAACTCTATGCAAGACCATATAATTTCCTGTTTTACGTGGATTATAAATGCTGCTGAATTTATTCTCATGTCCTACATTTTACCGCTATGCTTAGTATAATACACATCACATCTAACATCCAGAAAGTTATTCTGCAGTCCCCAAAGCTTTTCTAATACAAACTACCTATTGCATTCCTCTACAGATGGAAGCCCTGGTGTTGAGGGCAGTTCTCCAGGTAAGCCTGATTCTGCGGGTTTTACTTGTGCAAGTTTAAAATAGAACAGTTTAGTTTGGTTTAATTGTACTGGATCTGTGCAGTGAGTCAAGTGTGTTACCTGTGTGATGCTGCAGGTGAATGGAGTGATGCTCTGTATCCGCTCTTGACTACACTGAATGAGTGTGTGGCCATGATGAGTGACAAGGCGAAGAAGTCTATGGTGTTTGTGCTGATGCAGGACTGCGCTCCCACTATTGGCATGAGTCTGACGCTACAGTACCGCAGGGACGTGGTCTTCTGTCAAACAGTGAGAACCTTCACACATCATGACTAAACAAAATGAGTCATTCTCACAAAACCATCTCAAACCATGTCCGTACACATTTGAGCATTAATCAGTGTTCATATAATTTAGTCGATGAATGGGATCTCTATATGGTTCAGGAACACATGTTTAAATATTTATTTTTCTATTTCAAAGTTTTTTGGCAATTTGTCCCCAATTCTCATGATTGCAGTGTACTCACATGCAAGAGTTTGAACACCCTGATTAATTTTGTTCTAAGGGAAAATAAGTTAACATATCATATATAGAGAAGAAAAATAATTGTCACTCTCAGCAAATTTTAGTGAACAATTTGTGTTTATTTGCTGAGTTTAACATATTGGAAAAACATATATATAAAATATATATAAATGTGCCATAACTTTTGCACTGGCCAATTTTTTTTTTTCCCAAGATGTTAAATTCAGCAAATAAACTGTAATTCTACATTAAAACATGAAGAACTCATTACCATATGTATAATATTTTTGCTTTTTTCAACTAGAAAAAAATGAGTTTGTATTACTTTTAACTGCTGAATCTCTTTATCTCTTAATCTGTTCTTTATAAAATCTACCGAAGTGAATCAAAACAACAAAATGTTATGCGGTACAAGTAAAATATAAACCTCATTCGCCATCACTGTGCTACGGTAATGAGATAAAATTGCAAATTAATATTTGGTGGATTATTTTGTAAATTCTATATTCTATTAAAGTATAATTATATATGCTTTAATTATTAGTTTTAGTTTAACTTTGCGTTGTAACTTATGGAAGCAAATAATGGTGAGATTATTCTCTGCCCCTTCTTCCCTGAGACTTATTCAGAATCACCGCCTAAAGTATAAACCAATCAATAAAATCCATTTTTATTATTAAATGAAAACATATACCAATCAGGCATAACATTAGGACCACCTCCTTGTTTCTATGGTAATTGTCCATTTTATCAGCTCCACTTGCTATATAGGGGTTCTTTGTAGTTCTACAATTACAGACTGTAGTCCGTCTGTTTCTCTGCATACTTTGTTAGCCCCCTTTTACCCTGTTCTTCAGTGGTCAGGACCCCCATGGACCCTCACAGAGCAGGTACTATTTGGGTGGTGGATCATTCTCAGCACTGCAGTAACACTGACGTGGTGGTGGTGTGTTAGCGTGTGTTGTGCTGGTACGAGTGGATCAGACACAGCAGTGCAGCTGGAGTTTTTAAACACTGTGTCCACTCACTGTACACACTACTAGACACTCCTACCTTGTCAGTCCACCTCGTAGATGTAAACTCAGAGACGATAACTCATTTGCTGCTGCACAATTTGTGTTGGCCATTCTCTAGTCCTTCATCAGTGGTCACAGGACGTGCCCACAGGACGCTGTTGGCTGGATATTTTTGGTTGGTGGACTATTCTGTGTCTGATCCACTCAGACCAGCGTAACACACACTAACACACCACCAAGACTGTTAACTTACAGTCTTGACGTTCTACAACACTACTGACAACAGTATACAGATCATGAAAAGAAAAAAAATTAAGATGAGAATAATGAGATTTTGGTCACTTAAATTGGAAAATGTTAAAATCAATTTTAAACCAATTCAGGTTTATTTTTGATAATTAAAATCATGAATCATTGTTTGTACATCCACAAAAACAGAAATCATTAAGGTTTGGCCTCAGGGTCCCAGTATTTGTCATAACACAAATAACAGAGTAACAGAATAACAATAGAACACAAACAGAATAACAGTAGTCTACTCCACTACTGAAGTGCACTGCTCAGGAGTTACAGCTTCACACTCAAAAAATGTGGATACAAACACAAACAGCATCATTTTTGGCATTCTGTATTAGAAATGCATTGAATTTAAACTTGAATCATTTCCACATTATTAAAATATTACATCAACACAGTTTTTGCCAAAAGTAAGCAAAATGTGAGTCTTGAGCTGATGTAACATTTTATCTAATGGAAATGATGTATGCATTCAATTCAGTGTGTTATTTTCTCAGTTCAGTATCAAACTGAAGAAATCTTTTTGAATTAATAGCCATCATTAATAATTCTTTGAGGTCTGTGTACATATTCCTCATTAATACTTTAAATGATGGGTCATTGAATGTATCCATTATGTAATAATAATCCATATCTGTGGTGAATGCGTCTCTCTCTTCAGCTGACGGCTGTGATCTGTGGGTTTGTAACAAAGCTGAGGAACTGTCTGTGTGAGGAAGGCTTCCTCAGACAGCTTCACACTATCGGCTTACTGGTCCAGTTTGAGGGTCTGCTTAGCACTTATGGTAAGCGTTGGTGTTTGTATGCATTTGATGTTCATGTTTATTTGTATTGTGTTAAGAATGTACCTTTATTTATTTAGTGGACGCTCTTATCCAGAGTGGCTTAGAAAATATTTAAATAGTCAAAATTACATTGAAGTACAGAGAATTTATGGTGTAAACAACAACAATTCTATCATGGCATGATCCTGTTAAATCAAAACAAAAGCACACCATAAATCCAAACATTAAGGTTTCAAACACTTTTCCTAACACTTTTAAAACGTGTTTTAAGAACAAACAAGAGGGGTTGGAATCGTGAGTGCAACAACAAAGAAACGCCAGTGTGTAAAACCTAAAGGATGTGTTCTGTTCTTTTAAACTGTTGTTTAGTTAATGTTACGGTCAAGTTTTTACAATTTCTAAACACTGTAACATGGTTTTAAGTGTAACAGAGAACTGTTGAGTGTAGACTTTGAGGACAAGTATTAAGTGCAGTTTATATTATCATTATTATTGTTTTCTATGATGGAACTCAAAGCTCTGTTGTTGTGTTAAAGGGGAGGAGCTGGCCATGCTGGAGGACATGTGCGTTGGCATCATGGACCTTCGGAACGTCACCTTTAAGGTCACCCAAGCAACCTCTAGCTTTGGGCCCGACATGCTGCCTGTTATCACAGGAAACAGAGATGGGTTTAATGTGCGTGTCCCACTGCCTGGGAACATGTTTGATGTGTTGCCACGGGAGATCCAAAACGGGATGCTACTGCGTGTTCAGCCAGTGCTGTTCAACATTGGAATCAATGAACAGCAGACACTTGCAGAGAAGTAGGCAGAACAAATTTGCTGTATAATATCTTATTTATTCGTGTTGGGAAACATTTGATTAGCTTAAAGGGGAGTTCCACTGATTTTTCAAAATTTCTGCATAGCTCAATCACGGGGACGTAAACAAAGTCATTCAGAGTGGTTTGATGTGAAATGGTTCATTGTAGAGAAATATACCAACCCAACTTTCTTTACAGTGGAGGTGACAGGAACCAGGGGTCGCAATGTCTACAACATAAATACAGTTAATTTATTTATCATGCAAAACCACAAGGTGAACATACATGTGTCTTTGGAGTTTTTATATGTAATGTTGATAATTGTAAAATAGCCGTGAAGGGGAGGAACTAATATGTTCTAGGCCAAAATTTTATCTCAAAACTAGCATTAACAATGTCTCAGACATCAGACAGCATATTTATAACCATCTCGTTTAATAACTTTGTTTGAGGGAGCTTTTGGCAGCATTAAACTCTTCAAATGCCTGGTTCCTATCACCACCACTGTCAGCAATTCTGATTGAGTGAGTTTCTCTAGAACTGAGAATTTCACACCAAACCACTCTAGTTTTTCTTAAGCATTTAATTATTCATAAATTTAGAAGAATCAGTGAAATTGCCCTTTAAGTCTAAGAATAAAAAACATTAAAGTAATATTGATGAACTTTATATTATTCAAAAGGTTTGGTGACACATCACTACAGGATATAGTCAATATGGAGAGTCTGGCGCGACTCAACTCCTACTATGACCAGTTCAAGGAAGTGCTGCCGGAGGACTGTGAGTAAACAAGCTCTTAAGTATACAATTTTATCTGATTACAACCATAGAAATCATTGGTTATTGAATTATCCCAGTTGATTAATGTTTTATTGTAGTGTTTAATGTTTCAGTAAGTCATTATTTCCTCCTCCAGGTCTGCCTCGATCGCGCAGTCAGAACTGTGTACCAGAGCTACTGAAATTTCTCAGTCAAAATATAAACACCAGAAAGAGTAAGAATGTGGACATCCTGTGGCAGGCAGCAGAGGTACAGTCATTTACTATTTGTCCTTATGATCTGAATTCATTTGAGAGTGTCATTCATTTGGATTCATTTCAGTGTGTAGTGTCCACATTGTACCTGTCTGGTTTTCCTTCTGTTTGTACCTTAAACCCTCTGTCCTTCACAGACTCACTAAACCAACACTCTTTCTTCAATTATTAACAAGTCAATTGACCATGTAAAAGTGCTTATAATCTTATACACACTTCTGACAGATATCTTTTCCCCCTTCTGCTCACCTGCTGTTCTCCCAGGTATGTCGCCGTCTGAATGGTGTGCGGGTGACCAGCTGTAAAAGTGCAAAGGACCGCACAGCCATGTCTGTCACTCTGGAGCAGTGTATGATCCTGCAGCAGGAGCACTGCTTGGCCCCTCAGGTTTTCACCCAGGCCCTGGACTGCATGCGCAGGTGAGGCTGCCCTGCCACTGCCTGAAAACGAGAAAAGAAATGAGTGATCAGGATCCCTCAGTGATGCTCTAAATTCAAAGTGCCTGTTTAATAGTGAATAATTCAGGTCTGTGGCTGAACTGAGAAGACATTACTTTTTTCTTTTATTTTCTTCTAAGCACAATTGATTTCATTGTAAAGCACATTGTAAAACACATTATAAAGCACAGGTCTTTGTTTTTGTGCACATGTTCCTATCTCCATTTTTGTCTTTAACTTACAGTAACTTACATTTAAGGTTAAATTTTCCTTTTCTGGAAACACAAGGATTTGTTCCAACAGCAATAATATACTGCTAAAAACAGTATGAATGGATCAAGGAAACTTCACTGTGCCTTTCTGAAATCTCAAGTAACATACTTTTACAATATTAAATGTTCTCTTAAATCAGGCATGTCAAACGGGGGACCTTCCAGGCCAACGTGCTGTAGAAATTAATGTTTTCCCTCATCTAACACTCTGAATTCAGTTCATGAAGGCCTTGCTAATTAGCTGATGAGCGGAATCAGGTGTGTTTAATGAGGCAGTGTGCAGAAATCTGCAGTGTTTTGGCCCATTAGGACTGGAGCTTGACATGTATTAAATTGAAACCTAAGGCAAGTTTTCATGCACTCCTTATTTTGCTACATCATACTGAACCCACCATAAACACCACCGTATTGTGTCTAACCAAATATATCTAATCAGTGAATCATTGCAATCATTGTGTCAAGCTATATTGTTTCATTTATCTTTTTTGGTCCTTTAAAGGGTTCATATCCTACTTTTTTCTTGCATTGTAATTTTTCCCCCTGGGGCTCACTTATAACATTTGTATGGGGTTTTGTAAAAAAAAAAAAAGTCATAATTAATTTTTACATGACCATTTTCCATCATCTCTTTAGTATTATACAGGCTGTTTTTTTACCTTGTCTTTAAGACTGATATATGCACATGAGCTCTGTTCTGATTGGCTGTTCCTTCCATTTTCAGGGAGGGTGTCTGAGCTAGCTCAGTGTTTCTGCTAAATGATAGGTGGGGTGGTGTGATGGGAGGTAAAACATAATATTATATTATTGGTTTATAATATTTTTTCCTGTCTGTGCAGCTTTAGTGGTGTAGCCAAAAACCATATGATGTTTTAGAGGCAAGCAAAAGTCATTACACTTTGATGGAAGTTTGTCTTTTAAACGACATATCATGAATCTTCCTTAACATGACCAGAGACATGAACTAAGCAGGCAAAAAAGGTTAAGAATTCCATGTCGACTGTAAAAACAGCTACTATGCCAAACAATTGTTTTTGCACTTCTCTAAATATTCCCATTCACCCATCTCCATCTACAGTGAGGGCTGCAGGAGAGAGAACACCATGAAGAACGTGGGCAGCAGAAAATACGCCTTCAATTCTCTCCAATTGAAGGCCTTCCCCAAACAGTACAGACCACCAGAGGGCACTTTTGGAAAAGTGGAGACTTGATATGAACACTAATCTGTTAACCCACCTCACCTGCTTGTCACCAGGCTGTTTGCCCATCCCCTTTACTCTGTCACCACTGATCTGAATGGAAATCTGCAGTGAGTGCAGTCATGTGAACACTTCCTGTAGCCAGACAAAGGGTAATGTCCATATTTTGCTCACTGCCGTCCTTTGATTATTGGTCAGTGGTTACTAGAGCAAAGGTGATCAGGAGGGAGACTAGTAGAAAGGTATTTGGGTGGGTTTTTTGGGTTGTACTGAAGGCTAGAAGCATCCTTGTAAATGTTTTATCAAGCATCAGAACTCAGCATCAGTGCAAAGCTGAAAAGTGAAGGAATTCCCTAAAATCCCTCATTGCAAAGGACACATTTCCTTCAGTGTGTTTGGTCAATATAGAACTTAATTTTAAGATGCCTAATTAGAACGTCTTTAGCTACTTTGCCTTTGCAACAGGCTTAATGAAAAACATATAAGCACTAAAACAATATCTTTTTTTTTTATCATCCCTTATGATTTTATCAGTTTCATGCATGTTCTTGAATAATTAAGGGATGTGTTTACATGTTATGAGATTAATATCAGTTTGAACATTTATGACAGTTAGGCACTATCCGCAAAGCTACTGAGTTCCTAAACACACCAAATATGTACACGAGCATTGTTCTTTATCATGTATTAATACACTGTACTGTAGCTGCCTTAAGAGTGTCAACTGCTGTCTTCTGTCCCTCTCCCCTATACGTAAACAAGTAGAAACTTATTTTCACCAAATCATTTATCTTACCGTAAGTGATGTGGCAGAGTACATCTTATCAAGTCCGTCCTTATCACGAGGGTTTACATATTACACTTTAAATGAGCCCTTTAGCCTATTACAGCACTTACAACGTCATGTGCATTGTACGGGTTGTAGATTTCTAGGGAAAAGGCCTTTCTCATGCTGTTGCCAATCACAGGTAGTGTTTGTACAGTAAAAAAGAGTTGTGAATAGACGTTAACATACTTTTAGCAGAGTTATGCAGAGAATTACGACATTATTCAGTTGCTGGTTGTTTAATTAATGTTTGTATATTGTGTTATGCAGATCTTTTTGGAGTTGGATTATGATATCAGAGACCACTGCTCTTATAATGTGAAAAACTAGGCATCTGATTGGATGTTATAATTTATTGACCCATACATTACATTATTCTGTTGTTATGTATTTCATTTCAGTGTGAACCCTAAGATGCCATGAGAAATGAAAAGCTCTACACACTTGAGTCCTTTATAGTTGGACAACATGAGTAATTAAATAGCACACTCACACCTGTACTAAACCAGTTCCTGTGTGAGTGTTAAGTAAGCTGTTTGGCAAGATCAAATACACGTTTAGAGCTGTAACACACAAGGACAAGTAGACTTGCACCTGTCTGCGTGCAGCAAATCCTGACAAACAACTAAATGATGCACTATTTAGTAAAAAGAACATTTTTTTTATTTTACTGTTTTGTTTTTTCACTATATGTGAAGACATCGTAATGTGACTGTTTTTCATATTTTTTATTTTTGTATTTTGTTTGTGCTCTTATTTAATGCTTATGTCACCAATGTGTTTTAAATGTAATGTAGTAATGTTGAACTAATTTGACCACTGCTCTTTATGATGATTTTAACAGTCATCTGTCTGCACAACCCTGAGCTTGGCTGTACATAATGCAAAGCTGCAAAGAATTCATCCAAACAATCAGCTATTAAAGGAGATAAACCGTTTTTTGCTGAGTGTTTTGTTTATGCTGCACAAACTAACAGAAAAAGGACAAAATACAGATACTGCTGATTCATTTTGATTTTGGAGCCTCTTCTAGTCACTCTTACCTCTTTAAAAGATATGTTTAGTTTTATGTTTTCAAAAAAATACCCCTTAAAATCCAAACATGTCATTTAAAACATTAAAAATAACTTATATTAAATAATTCAATATTCTCAATGTTCAATATTTTCAATACTTTATGTTTTTCATTTATGCCAAAGAATCTACTAAAATGGCTTACGAACATCTGTAAACCTTTGCTCCTGCCAACAATGTGAAGGTTTATGAATATAAATGATTATGCAAACTGCAGATGCCCCTGTCCCGTCTGTTTCTGGCAGCAATATGTCAGTTGTGAGTTATGTTGAAAGCTTGAATCTGAATCTCAAAATAATTACTTATTTTCTCAAAAAAAAGTCAAAATAAAGGCTTATTATTCCAAAATATATACTTTCTCAAGATTTAATAACTTATTAATTCAACACATTAAGTAAAAAAATCAGCCTTATACATATATATATACACATGTATGTATTTACATACATATGGTTGGACCTATTTACATCCTAACACTGCTTTATGTGCCATGTTCACCTGTTAGTTTGCTAGAAGCACATACTCTTAGGTACATTAGCGCATGTTCTGTAATCAAAAGTTTTCTGTAGTCTTAACCCCACGTTGTCATGGGACAAGTTCAAGTTCATGACTTTCAAAAATAACAGGCCATTTCCTGAAAGCATCTTAACTGGTAGAGAGAGAGAGTGTTCAGTGTGATGCTTGTTCAACCATTTAAGAACCATCTTTGTGCCAAGATGTTTAAACGATGCCCTGACAGGCACCTCACAAAAATACTGAGAGTCTGCGAGGCTTTGTTAAATTTGCACTATAATAACACATTTTGCACACATATTTACGGAGCCTTGCTGGTGACATCAATAAAATAACATAAGGTGACATAAATTAAAATAATGCATGGTCATGACTTACTAAGGTGTGGGAATGAGATAATTAGGTTGAGGCCACGACTTAGCAAGGCATGGGAACAAGATCATGCCTTGCTAAGTCATGGCCACGCGTTAGAATCGCATTCCCATGCCTTACTAAGTCGTGGCCACGCATTATATTTTTAATTTATACAGGATGTTACCAGCGGGCTTCGTAGATATCAATAAGGTGAGAAGGAATATCTTTAAGAGGTGTATATTCCACAAATCCTTGCTAAAAGAGGACCAGAAACCATTAGGATTAAAATCTAATGGTTTGCTCTGTATATGGGAACTGGCTTAAAGGGTTTCAATAGAGACCACTAGTTTCCTAAACATCCTTAGATCCCATTAGGAAACCATCAGATGCACTTACAAGCAGCCATTGGTCACTTGTAAACTATTAGGATCCTTTACATTGCGATATCAGCCCATTAAAAAGCCAAAAAACATTAGGAACCAACAGAAACACTTAATGGTTTCTATGTTTTTTGTTTTTTGTTTTTTGTTTTTTTTCAGCAGGGATGTGTGAAATCTTCACCAGCGCCAGCATCACTGCCATTTTTGTTGCTTCTGTAGCAGTTATTTAAAAATTGACTGACTTTTTGTTGCCAAATATGTGAAAAATAGTGCAGTTTGTCAGTACCCAGCAAACACACAGCATTGTCAGAACGTTGCTACAACAATATTATAAGGTGGTGCTGTTTACGTTGTTCAAACAACATGGTTAAACCTCATTATTACGTAATGTTGCTGTACAGTGTTGTGACCAGAGCTGGTTTCCTACGAGTTCTCTGGTTATGACTACCAGTTGGCAACTTAGCAAAATTCCATGGAGTTCCATTCACACCATATGGGACTTATAAGATTCTAGAACGTTGTGACAACGTTGTGGGCGCCAAAACAATACGTCGTCACAACGTAACTCTGTTTGCTGGGTACATGTCTGTGTCTGTATGAACCCTAAAACCTCTGAAGAGTGCAATCAAAGATTATATATAAGGTAGATAAAACCACACAAACGTTATAAAATGTATATAATAAACAATTATTTAAGTAATTAATACAATATAATGTTCCATCTCCTTTTCACAGGCAACAAAAACTGGCCTTTTGTCTGACCACGTACACTCATGAAAACAAAACTGAAAGTAAATAAAACTGTGATTTTCTCAAGGACTAAATGATACATGTTTCCACAATAAACAATACCTTTCATTAATATTATGAACAACAAACACACTGAGGTTTTACGAAAAAAAATAATTGGAACTTTTTATTTTATTATTATTATTATTTTCATTTTTAATTGTATTTTTTATACTAACAATGCCGAAATAAGTGAATGTCTCTAGTTCCGAATGAACAAGCCGTTTCAATATTATGTTTGAGTTTTATTAAGTCATTTTTAGCTGGGTAGATTTTATGTATAAATTTATACGGCTCTTCTTAAACTGTAGTAGTGATTGCGCAATAAAAGCCCGCCCGTCGTTACGTCATCTGCCCGTCTCTGATAGGCTGTAGGCCTGAGAGTTGCCAATGGCCGCTGCTCTTCTGTTCAGAAGGATGTCAAGGATACTGTACGCATTACTGAAAACTAGACATACAGCGAGTAAATCAAGGTATCTTATTTTACCGCAGAACATTTTATAGAGGATAGCGGGATTATTAAAGCGACATGTTTGCAGTTCAGTCAAGTTAAGCGCTTTGGAGGCGCTGCCAGCGGGAGACACGTGTAAACACGAGAAGATCCACTACACCGAGCGCTTATACTCTTCATACACAGACACTTAAATACAGGAGCTGTGTGTTTTTTTCTGTATTTCTCTCGTAGGTGTGTAAGTATATCGGTCAAAGGTCAAATAATCAACTTCTAAATAGCTGCAAGTTAAACCTTCTCACGGCTGAGGTTCGCTTTGCACAGTAACGGTTATTTTCATTTGTCCTCTCTGACTCCTCCCCACTGAAAACCGAAAAGCCTGCACAGCTCACGAGGTTAGCGTTAGACTGTAGCTCGCAGCCTGCACTGCCACTGAGAGCGAAACGCAAGTGTTTCAACAGCTTTTGCAGAAACCAATACTTCAGCAAAGGTAAGCAGAAAATCATATTGGCGTCTAACAAGGGCACTAACAGTTATGGAGCTTTGTTCTCTTTCTTCTGCTGTTTATTTTTTACTTATCTAAGCACTTGGTGCTCTGAAGTCTTTCTGTCCTATAGGTTTTTTGTAAACAAAGGACTTTTTCCTTTTTCATTCTTGTTGGCATGTCTGTTCATGTCTCCACATCACCGGTCAGGACCTACCTCTACCATGGTGAAGAAACTGCTGGTTGATGTGGACTGTGGAGTAGACGATGCACAGGCCATTATGATGGCTTTGGCTGCGCCAGACGTCCAGATCCTCGGTATCACCTGTGTTCATGGCAACACGTGTGTAGAAAACGTGTGCAAAAACGTCTTGCGCGTCCTGAAAGTTTGTGGCCGGCTGGAGGTACGGCAGTTGTTTTCAATCACAGCAGTTGAAAAAAGAGCACTAGAAAACACAAAAATGTGTAGTGCATTGGAGCCCATGGCAGTAAAGTAGAACCACTGAGTAGCTTCGACAGTCAAGTCCAACCCAAATACCAAGACACCTGGAGCTGGATTCACGAAAGCTTTCTTAAGAAAAAACTTGTGAAGGTTCTTAAGACAAACGCTAGTAAGTTCATAAGAGTGTTTTTTTTAATGCAACGTCTCAAATATTCTCTTAAGATAATCTTAATTATTAAAAAGAGTTAAGAAAAAGAAGAAATTAAGAAGTTCTGAAGAATTCTGAAGAAGGTATTTGAAGGTGAACAACCTTTTTCTTAAGAAGATTTTCTTTCTTATGACACTTTTGTGAATCTGGCATCTGGTGCATCTGATTTCAGGATGCCAAACCCTGTTTTGTTTTAATCGTTTCAGCATAATGTGCAGTGTGGGTTTTAGCAGACTGAGACACATTCACTGTTAATATGCAACATTTATACACACAAACAGTGATAGATTAATTCCTTTTGACACTAAGGCATGCATTCCTGAAAGTTTAGTGTGTCTAAGTCTAAAAATGAAACTTTTTTCATTTAAAAATCAAAAAGCAGCTCACAATAGATGGAGAAAGGCAGAGGGAAAGATGTCTCAAACTTTAAGTGAATGCTGTGCTGAGACCTAGCAGAATAGAAAAATCTGATAATAGTAATTCTGATCAAGTGGCTGGTAGCCTTTAATTGCCTCACAAGACTTGATTTTGAGTAAAAAAATCTGGTTTGATTCATGTTCTCTTGCTGACAGTGGCATGTTTTGATGTATTCTCCAGATTCCTGTATTCAAAGGGGTATCAAAACCACTTCTGGGGAATGTACTGAACGCTGGACAATTTCATGGAGCGGATGGGCTTGGTGATGCTCCAGACCCTGACGCTCCTGGCCTGGAACTAGTGCAAGAGGAGGGAGCAGTGTCAGCTATTATCCGCATTGTCAATGAGCATCCTGGAGAGGTTATGTACATTTTGTGGTCAGAACAAAATTATTATGTGTTTTTTCTATTTGTTTCTATAAGCCTTAGGTTTTACCTTGTGAGCTGTAGTTTCAAAAGTTTGTTTGAAAAGCTATTAAATGGAGGGTTTCAAGAAAGCTGTTGGTTCTTTCAGGTGTCTTTAGTGGCTACAGCTCCACTTACAAACTTGGCAGTGGCAGTAAAATTGGACCCTACCTTACCACAGAAGCTCAAAGGCCTGTACATCATGGGTGGCAACACAGACTGTGGGTACACTGCCTGTTCTTTTGTTGTTACATCATCTTTGATTAATAATTTAAAAGCTGCTATGTGCAAATTGTTCTTTTGAGTCTCGTCATTTCTGGCCGTTTATTAACCTTTTTTGATTACAGTATTTTTTTTATTAAGGACTTTGACCAATACTTGGTTTTGAATCTAAAGAATGCCTGTATAAACTGAGAATTATGACTGATGCTTAGTTTTGAACACAATGAATGACTGTATAAACCTGTCTCTAGCTAGAGGTAACACTACCATTTGCGGAGAGTTCAACTTTGCAGCAGACCCTGAAGCAGCATATATTGTGCTGAACGACTACCTGTGCCCTACTTACATTGCCTGTTGGGAGTTCACATGTCACAACAAATTAACCTGGGTAAAGTTCACATTTTCTTATCATAAAATGCATGTATTTGTGTGACCAGCAGAGCTCCACCGAAATTGTTTGGAATTTGAACATGAAATGTTGCAGTCAAGTTTTTCGCAAAGTTAACACACCTCCATGAAACTATGAGCATAAGCAGAAGAAATTAACATAATGTTGATGCTAACTTCATAAAGATGCCTCAACGATATGAATTACTTGGTTGCGACACTTCACTATGCTCACGTTCCTGCTTACTGCAAGACAAAGAGATCCTGTCTCGGAGGAGCACAGTGCTGCACAACTTTACATTTTCCTCTTGTCCAACATACTCAACTCAAGAAGAGTTAATGAGTTCAGCCTTGTGCAAGCAGGAAAAACACACTTTGCAGTGCTGGGACCCTCCAAGATCAATGAGCACCTCTGATTCATCTCATATTGTAGAACTGTTGAGCAGTGATTCTGATTGACGAAGAACATTCACGTTTTACACTCCCTTTACAGGAGTTCTGTGACTACTGGCTAGCTCAAGACACACATAAAGCTCGGTTCATGAAGAGGATCTTCCAACATAGCATTGACTCGTGCTACAGTGAGAGAGTTGAAAAAGAACTGGTGGCAGGACAGGGATTCATTTCCTGTGATTCTTATGCCATGGCAGCTGCCATTGATGACAAGTTTATCATTGAGAGTGACCATAAGGCTGTCACTGTGGAACTCACAGGTGTACATTCCCGAGCAATGATGATTGTAGATCACCTGGAGATGCTCCCGAAAACTCATAAAGCTTACATCTTGAAGAAAGTGGACTTAGAAAGGTTTAAGGAGCTAATGATGAATGCCTTAAAGTAATTTTTTATGATGATCAAGATTCCACGTAGTGTGACCATGTGACTGAAACCCTTCAACAAATCAAATCTATGTTTAGAAAAGAAAAATGTTAGTTTTGTAGTACTCAGTAAGTACTCTTTTGTAACTTGCAAGTGGGGTTGTTTTTTAAACATAATTATTTTGCTCACTTTTTTAATTAACACATCTTTAAATAAAGCTATGCTGAAAAGTTGTGTTTGCTTTAAAAAGCATTACATTTTCACAAATTAAAATGTCATGAAAATGACCTAAAAATATAAGCCTGCTTATGAGTAATGGGAATGACATTTGCTGATCATGTTTGCAGCACTCGGTGGCTTGGGTAAAACTTGTTCTTCTGCTGTGGTTGGCCAAAACATTAATGCTACTTCCTACTTTGGGGCTAGAAAGCGTCTACTGCAGACTTTCCTGGAGAACTTGCATCATGCAGGCCTAGCAGTACTGCACAGTTTTGTGTTTTCCCTGCTGATTCAGATTCAGACAATAATTATGTAACAACACAAAACAAAACAGCGAGTGTGCAGAACAGCCGGGCCTCTGTGCCCAGTAAACATTGGTTTTACTGTGCGATCAGTAGCAAATCTGATATGATTCAGAAAACTACTTGCATGCTCTCCAACCACATCTCAACTATTATAAACTAATGATTGGTAGGAGTAGTATTAGTAGTATTATTAACGACTCGCTTTTTAATAACTCTGTAAATGTCTGAACCGTGATAATTACAGCCCATTCTGATGTCCTCACAGTACAAATAGCCCATTTCAAATTTTAACACAGTAACTCGTGTCTCATTACCATAGTCCATGTTAAAGCACTGTACATATTTACCACAGCATATTTAATGTTGGCAAAAGCATAAAAAATATTAGCAGTCCATGACACAAGCATGTTGAGCAAGTTTGTTATTTACAACTTAGGAGAACAGCCTCATAGTTCAAATCCATCTCCAGCTCCTTCTGGCACCAAATAAAATTATACATAACAGGATCCAATTAGTAGCCTTTTTTGCCTCTGAATCGAGATCTTGTGTCCAGCTACAAAAAGAAAGGCACAGTCAACTTACATTGATCAACAACATGAACTTCCACACATATCCATAATGTTGCTTTCATTACTTGAATCAACAAGGCACGATATATACTGCAAGTAAACACGGCAAATGGATGACTTGAAAACACTACACTTTCAGACTGGACTACTAACCATTGATCTTTTGCATTCAAAGAAAGAAACTTGCAAGTGTTTGCAGTGACCCTCCTTCAGACACTCGCTGGGCTTCTTGCCTTCCTAAAATCAAGCATAAAAGGCATAAATAAAAGGTCGTTAGTTCTTGGCAGCACATATACAGTTACAATAATTTGCTTAGATTTCTTAGCTCTAACACACCTGGACCAACTAACTAACCGAGCTCTTCATAAACAGTGTATTAGAGAAGAGAAGATTAATCAGGGAAAATGCTTTTTGCCTTCAGAACTGGAGCGGTGTGAAATGACACCGAGTGACAGACTGTTGTTTTACTGAAACACATTAGGGCTACAGTACGACCTAGAGACAGCATTAACATGACAGTTACAATGACTTGAGGCATGGGACCCGATCGTCAATAGTCTAAATTACTACATAAATTAATAAATATATAATAGTTACGTTAAAAAAGACAGTGGCTCGTTTGAACTGTAGGAAAACAGTTAGTTAACCTCTAACGCTATCGGTTCAGAAAGTTACCTTCACGACGCAGTCATGCTGCAGCAGACAGGCTTTGAAATCTTCTTTGATTCCAGCACAAGCGCGACCGTCCTCCTCCTTCTCTTCGTAGTATTTGGGCATTGTGTTCAATCTGCATTCGACCGAGTGTAATTAACTTACAGGAACGTGTCGACAGTAAAATCACCGGCCACTAAACTGGGTAAGCAAAGGGACATAACTAACGTTACACCACTGCTATGAAAGCGGCCATGTTTTCTGAGCAGTGCATTCTGGGAGTTTCCGTAGTTCACCAGGTCGCCCTTGGTGTATAAAGGCTCTGACGCTGTTGTCTCAGTCAAGTGCGCAAAATGATGCTGCCTTTTATTTCATATTGTGAACGGTGAGTTACGGTCTGTTTTTTACAGCAGACCAATTTGATTTCCACCGGTGACCACAAGATGGCTCTAAATCATAAGTTATCCTTCAGCAGAGCGGCTACATTACCAGAGCCGGTTTATGAGGAGCCTGGCCCCTTCCTATTCCCCCCCCGTTATATCAAAAACAGGACTGCTAATCAACAGAGGGCACCCGTGAGGGAGTCCTTAATGAATGGGAGTAAATGGCGTTCTACGGCTAAAACCGAAAAGTTAAAATAGTGTCTAATCACTTTCCCAGAACGTTTCTTTAATTTTAGAAAGTAGAAGGATGTATTTCACTAAAAAAACAAAGAAAACTCACCTATATGTGTTCTTTTTTCTACAGCAAACGGGTTTAGGGCAGCAGGAGGCGGGCATTACTGCTAGAGCGTGATGATTGATTGGCGAGCGGAGTAGCTCATTGGCTGTTCGCGCTCACTGACGTCATGAACATACATGAGGCGCCGTTTTAAACTCCTATAACTCGAGCTTAAAAGCTCTTAAAAATATAACAGCAGTGTTAAAATGTTTTATGATTTTCAGTGTTAAGGAAATGATCGCATTCTTTTACATTAAAAATGTTTAAGCATTTATAAACTATGATTTCGCTCATATGCTCCATATCAACCCATTCATTTTGGACTCACTCGGGAGCGCCCTCTAGTGTTTGAGAAAACCGGAAGACATTGCAGAGTGGTAATTCTCCTCTCTACTAGTTCTCTGAGTCCTCAATCAATGGAGATGAATGGAGCTAAACGGCTAAAAACAAAAAGTAAAAATAGATTCTAACCACTTATCCAGGACCTTCTTTTAATTTTAGAAAGTAGAAGAGTGTATTTCACTAAAAAGCCAAGAAAAGGTATCTGTATTTAGAGTTTTTTTTCAACGGGTTTTGGGCAGTAGGACCCTAGCGTTACTGCTACTGAGTGCTGATTGGCTGGCATTACTGCTACTGAGAGTTGATTGGCTGGCAAGCAGAGCAGCTCACTGGCTGAGTGATGCCGTTTGTGCTCACAGACGTCATGAACATACATGAGGCGCCATTATCAAGTAACTGTAGTTGTAAACAGATACATAATTAGTAATAAAATTACAGCAGTGTCATATAAACGTACACATAAAATGTACCCAGCTAAAATTACTTTATAAAATGTAAACATAACATTGAAACGACCTGTTCATTCTATAGCAACTAAAGACAGCCATTAACTTATTTTGGCATTGTCAGTATGTGAAAACAATTTTGCAAAACCTCAGTGCCTTTATTGTTCATAATGTTGAAGTATTGTTTATTGTGGATACATGTATTATTTGGTCTTTTGGTAAATTACAGAACTAAATACACACATACACGATAAATTTTATAGTTTGGCTTAGTTGTAAATTCTCAGGCAAAAGGCCATTTTTGTTGCTAGGGAGATGGAAGATAATACTGAATCAATCTAGCCTTCTTTAAAACAAAAAGCTATTAAAACAAACTGTTCAAGCATGTGTGTACTTCAGGATTTCTGTGTAGTTACGTATATCCACCTAGCACATTTACTCGTCTGTGTTCACTGTTACATGTATATTGTTTGTATGCATTTGATGTTGTGTACTGTTTGGCTTCGACAACAAAAATCATTAAAAAAAAAAACAAGTAACTTTCAAAAGTGCTCTAAAATATAACAGCGATGTTAAAATGTTTTGTGCTGTTCAGGATATGAATACATTCTTCCATATAAAAATGATTAAGCATTTACAAACCATGATTTTGCTCAAATGCTCCATACCCATTCATTTTGGACTCGTTTGGGAGCGCCCCCTAGCGTTTAACACACCCGGAACACATTCTGAGTGGCAATTCTCCGGTTTACCTTATAATCTTTGCCTTCAACATCAGCGGGTGCTGAACGTTGTGGTAACCTTAGTGCCACCTGTATGGAGTTAATTTTGTGCCAAAATGTTTGAGAGAAGATCATGATGTTTGTTCGTGATCTTCACCTTCAAAACTCGTACGTGCGCGCAAATCATCTCTGCTCTCAGCTCCACAGCGCGCTCTCAGGTTCCTCTCAGCTCTCAGGAGTTTCTTTATATGTAGCTAACAATGTCTAACGGTATTCTATTGAAAAGTCTTAATTCTCTTAGAGCGCTTGTCTTCATAGGCTCATCTTGTTAATCCTGTATATTTATCTTGTATAATGGCGTCATCATAAAACAATACTGATGCCGTGCAGTTTTATATGGACAAAAATATTTTCAGTGAGTACAGGGAGTAATATAGTTCTTCATTTTTGTGATGTCCAGTAAACAAAAAGGATGAACTATATTACTGTTTTCAATCCATTTCATTTGTGACAGTCAACTGTCAAAACACGTTGGTAACCAAGTGTGTGTTTCAGCCAATGGAACCGCATGATGCCTGACGAATCAACATTGGGGGGGACCACCACGGTCACCACATCAGTATAAGAAAAAAAAAAAAAGTTATAAAGCAGTCATAGATCTGGTTGCACATGTGAATTTACAGTATCCAGTCTAAAATGTGTCTGAAATGTCTGTGACCATGAGTAAAACAAACTATGATTCATGTTGAAACAGACAGAAAACTGAAAACGGCAAACCATGAATTATGTCAAGTCTGATTTATTTCTGTACTCTCCATTCAAATCAATGTCAGTTGGAAACAGATGCACTGATGAAGGCACATGAAAGGCTGGGATGCACTAGACAGGGGGAATCTTACTATGGGAGGAGGGGGTTTAAAAGACTAAAGGGCAGATAGTTTAAAAAGAAATAATCAGCTTTCTGAAGATCCTCATCCTCTATACTTATACAAATTCAGTAATGATGCATAATGACTCAGGCATTATGGAGGACAAAATAGTAGGAACTCTAACCTGGGCTGGCCAGTTGGAATTCATATCGTGCCTCCTCTAGTCCAGTTTGTTCATAGCAGAATTCATGTCAAAAACAGAAACAAAATTATCAGACATTACACAGCCATTCTCAGAGTATACCAATACAGGTGCTCATTTGACGATCTGAGTGTTGGTCTGAATTCAAAATCAGAATCTTTAAAAACATGTAAACATATATCTTGACATTTATTCAACAGACACATTTCTAGATTTCCCCTGTTCAAATTCATCCCCTCATAGATGATATGTAATTGAAAGTGATATGCACAGAATGTCTTTGTCAGCTTGACAAGCTAAATGTGCATACAGTTAATGGTCATATAATGGCATGATTTTGCAAGGTCAACTCACATTTCTAGGAACCTTCTAAAAGATATATACAATCAAATGAGATGAGAGCACTTGGGAAATATGTACAGTAGTTACCCAGCCTCCTTCTCAGCCAGTTACACTGACAAACCTGAAAGTCAAAAACCACAGAATTCAAACAGACTGAACATTTCTGAAGATATTCTAACTAAAATGGCACAAAATTGTGCTGCTACTCACTTCACTTCAGTCACTCAGTGCTCACACACAACAGTAGATTAATTAATTTTTCACTGTGAAGTAGTAAAAGTCATTTATCAGCTATTCATAATTCTATGGTTTTTGCATTGTGTCCTGCTCGTAACCAGCCTAATATAATAAATTTAAAGGCAGGTCACACCCAGAGCCAGCTATTGTACAGCACTGAACACAGTAAGGAGACATCAAATAGCAATGATACAGGAGTATTTGACAGACAACATGCCAGTGGACTGTTTGAAATGGACAATGAAAAGTTAAGACAAAATACCAATGTATTTCCATAGCCAGTTCTTGGAGCAGACAGACACATGTAATCGTTTGACCTGTTTGGCCTGAAGTACAGTTCCACTGATTTTTCAAAATGTCTGCATGATTAAATCATTAAGATGTAATTAAATAATTCAGAGTAGTTTGATGTGAAATGCGCCGTCCTAGAGAACTTAAAAGTCCCAGATGTTTAAGTGGTGGTGATAGGAACCAGACGTCTAAAGTGTTTAATGATTCTGAAAGTACATTATAAAAACCATTCATAGAGAGCTTCATGCAGGGTGTTGTAAAGCAAAGTAGTCTCCGAAGAAACCATTATCAACAATGCATATAAAAACTCAGAGGACGTGTAGGTTCACAGGTGGTTGTGTTGTAGACATCACTATCTCTGGTTCCTATCAGCACCACTGTTAAAATATCAAATCAAAAAAAGTCAGTTCGTTTCTCTACAAACAGAACAAACTACTCTACGTGACTGTTTACATCTCAACAACTGAATTCTGCGGAATTTTTGAAAAACCTTTGAAATTCCCCTTTAGGACGAACATGGCATGCTCTGAACAGGAACTTGTCATACAAATTAAGAAGAAGAAATTTAGTTAGCAGTTTTCAATCCCAGTCTGGATTTTCACTGGTCTCCACAGTTTAACTGTCCCTGCTCCAACACACCCTTTCATCTACAAGCTGAATCAAGCTGTTAAAACCAGAAACAGCTGATCTATGGCTAAGCTGAACAGTGGGTCACCAGTACTGGGGCTGGGAACTACACTCTTAAAAATTATGGTTCTTTAAGGGTTCTTTAGTAAAGAAAATGGTTCTATATAGAACCTTGAACACTTAAAGATCCCTTTTTGGTGCTATATAGAACTCTTTTCAAAAATATTCTATATAGAACCATCTACAGCACATGGTGTTTCACTGCACGGATGGGTTAAATGCGGAGGTCTAATTCCACAGTGTGCAAACACAGTTGGCTGATGGTTCTGAATTCAAATTCATTCATATCCATTCAATCTGACAAACCCTTTGATGATGCAAAGAACCCTTTAATCAAAAAGAGATTTTGAGTGTTCATGGTTCTATATAGAATGATTTTCTTTACTAAAGAGCACTTGAAGTACCATTTGTTTATGTGTGTACTACTTATAGATTCAGTCTTTAGGAATCCTCAGCTCATGTAGATCATTGTTCTAGTTCACAACAAACCTGGGCCAGGTAACCAGCATATTACAGCCTTTGATTATCTGGTTGAGGTTTGATGGTGAGAAAAAAAGACCAACAAAAGTGGTCTGACTGTGGATCCTTAAAAGACTGGCCTGGAAACTTCTTATACAAGTTAGTCCTGTGTGACACAGGGGCTTTGACACGTAGAGGCAGTCCCTTTCCAGTCCCCTAGGGGACACTGGACATTAAGGCACAAATGTGGGGGACCTGCACCCATTGGAACTATACACGCACACACAAAAAACTTGAACCAGATTCTTTAAGCCACAATCACTAAAAAGCAAGTATTTACTCCAAATATTTATCAAATCAAATATTTACTTCTGCACTTTTTTTTTACTTTTCACAGCATAAAAAATAAAAATTTCTCTCTCGTACAAATTAAAGATTTATTTCAAATAAGTTAAATTCACCTTCATAGATCGTCTAAATAATAATAGTAATATATATTTACGTATATCCCTTCTGTTGAAAGGCCATGGTTGATTGGTTTACGTCGAAGGACACTGAAGGGAAGAAAGGCCTTTCCTGTTATACAAGGAGGGTTCTGCAGTATGGTTTCTATTCTTTAGAAATTAGTTTCAAGAAATATTTTGGCAAAGTAGTCATTACAACAAACTGTTTCATGGACATAAATAAGTTTAAACAGCGTGCCATGCCCTGGCACTTAAACGTGAGAGGTGAAAAACAACACCAACAGAAGTAACTTTTTCTTTAACACAAAATATCTCAAATGATTTCTCTTCTGACAACTTTGTGTAAAGTATAAAGCACTTATTTGACCCACGGTCAAAGTCATTTATGGTCCATAATGATACAGTACTCATAACATTCTCGTTCGGTAAGGACCGCCACCTTCTCTCCAGCATTAGCACACAATCCTGCATCTGATGTCAAACCTTCGTGATGGCACTGATCGCAAATCCTCAAGGCATTAACTTCAGTCTCCTTGTTCCTTCTGAAAACCTTTTCTTATACAGTAGTATTCACATTGACACACACAAAAGAAGACGAAAAGATGACCTGACAAAATGAGATCCTCAAAGGGAAAAGAACACAGAGTGGACAGTAACAAAAGAGAACGTGCGAGCAAGAAAGAGGAGGGA